TCGAATATTGGTTTTGCATATGTTCAAAAAGACGCAAATCCAATCAGATTCTGTGACACCATTCAAAATCAGAATTGGTTTGCAATTCTGACAACTACGCAAATCTGTCTTGAATTCCACAACACCCCTGTATTTTTATTTTTCGTTCCTAGTAGAGCTTAAATGCCTACATACCATCCGCTCAAATTCGACTTGGACTGGTTTATTTAAACGGTGCAAACCGAATCGATACCATTTTTTTTAAATTAAATTATTGTAGTACAACCATTTTTTATGTACAGGTGAAGTTTGATCTCCACATGTCAATTAGTGTGTGTTTGGCAGCCATTTGTTTACAACCCGAAAGGTTTGTCTGGCAATTTTTACCATGAACAAAATTATACGAGTTTGCTTTGAAATTTAATTTTTTTGTTTGTTTTGAAATTGAAGTTTTTTTTTTCGGGGGAGGTTGAGAAAAATGCCTTCCGCATCGTCATTGTGTCGTCACAGCAATGGTATGTGCCACTTGCAGGTCACTAAAAAACTCTCCTCTAGGGAACCGTCGCCCACCCTGGAACCGCTTTCGCGCTTTATATAATTTTTTACGTTCTTCCAATTTTCCTCGTTTTGGAGCATGACAGTTATGATGAAGAGTTTTCAACATATCCCCAAGCAGTTATTGTTGTTGCTGCTACAGCAAACACATGAGCCTAATATTCATTTATTGTAGTTCAATTGCAATAGCTTTGTCAATTTTGATTTATTGTGTGAATACAAGCAAATAATACAAATTTTAAATACAATTATGTATATATGGAACTGCTTAAATATATACTTATATAGCATAAATAAAGCATTTTAAAAGGCGAAGCATAATAATACGCTATATACTCATTTATATGCCTAGTACACAGTGCACAAATAATATAGTATTTCAGCTGCAAGCGTATACATGCGCATATAAATAAAACCGTTTGTTTTACTGTTTTGCAATAAACGCTGTAATTATATACAGACATATGTGAGGGGAAATTTTGTGATGAAAATGTGTAGTGTACATATATTTTTGGAATGTAATGTAATATTATTTGTTGTTTATTTGAACATTTTGCTGATAATAACATTTATACATTAAATACAAGTCATTTATTTGGATTACTTAAACACATACAATTTATAGTTTAATTGTTTTATATATACTATTTAGATTTTTCATCAATATAATACTTTATGTAACGCTGCAATATGAGATTTTCAACATTGCAGCAATCATTTATATATGTATATAGGCGGCAAAAGCCAATAGCCGGGAATTTTCTATCGCTGCGATATCATTACAGTCCCATAACATTTAAATTCGTCATATTTTTCAAACATGTATATACTTGTATGTGTATATATAAATATTTTTCTGTAATTATATATATGTAACTGTCCGCTTACTTTCGCTTTAGATTTTTAACTCCTTATATATATATATATATATTTGTTTAATATAATTAGTAAATATATGGCAGAAAGATTTTGATGCATATTTGAGTTTGAGTTTGATTAAACAATGTTTTCAATGGGCAAATATTAAAAAAAAATATTAAATGAATATACTCAAGTTGCAACACCATTTACATTTTCAGTCACTCCCAAACACGCACGTAGTCTTTGTCTTATTAGTGTACCTGTAGGCAGGTATGTGCTATTTTTACTTAGCCTTTCAACATACAGCGCGTGTAGAATTCGCGATCTATAGCATCATTTGCTATATAATTTGACCATTTGAAAATCAGTGCAAAAATTTCTTGCGCATGCAAATACTCCAGTGCGATGCTTAGAAAGCAATTCCAAGTGTAGAAAAAATGCTGGTTAACATTATCGACCGTTGTTACGCATTCACAATTAACACAACACAAGCGTCCTTGTTGCAAGTCAACGAATTGTTCAAAGCAACGCGCCCATGCTGCTAAACTAAGACCTTTGCCGATTTCCAATAGCAATTCGGGTTGCCGGTAGCTTAAAATAATCGGTACGACTTTATCCACATTATTTTCGGCCATATAGAATTTCGCTAATACATCCAGCAGAGCTGGCACTTGCATTAGCACATCAAAGCATTTTACCTGCTCATTACGCGACCAATAGTAACGTAGCAATACCGCGCCCAATTCATGAAAGACACAAGTGTTGTCAAAACGCAAAGGAAAGGCACAATTATCGCAACGCACTATATCCGCCAATGTATTGAGCAGCACAAAACCCTCCGCTATAAAGTCGCGCGTATAATCGTCCATTTCCCAAATAAGCTCGGTATTCAGGTAATTAAAGTACATCTCATAGCAGTTTTTACGTGCCTGTGTAGCATTATCACCATGCTCTTGCATTACCTCCTGCAATTTGCGCAGCAAGTCGATTAATTCGCGCGCAGTGTATTCATCGAATAACGAGCGATAACGTTCTACGAAATTTATGTTGCTTATTTTTGCACTTTTGCATATTAAATATAAATTATATATGGTTTTCTCCTCGGCACTTATATTATGTCCATTATTTGTAATATTTTGTTTAGATTCTGTGACTTGTGATTTTTTTGTTCGACACACAATATCTTCATCTTTTTCGTAAATCGCTTTAATATCGTTAAATGGTATTGAACGCTCATTAGACGGTATCAGTTCTCGTACCAATTTCTTTTGCTCATCAGCGAAGATATTAAATTTATATTTGATAATATTTTTACCAAATTTTCCGGTCACTGTTAAAAGCGCATCTTTGAAATGTTTTTCACCACCTTTAGTGGAGCGAATATTTTCGCAAAAAGCATTTTCGAGTACGTAAACCTCTTTAGCCGGTGGCGTATGATTGTTATTGGTCAATATCGGTATACCAATAGCGCCAACGCTTGCACTACGCTCTGTGGTGCCGGAACTGCTGCCGGTGCTGTTATTATCGCCAACGGCTAAAGTAAAACCAAAATAAAAAAATGTTTATTAAATAGTAAAAAAAAAAAAATATATTAATAAAAACTCGAAACAATCTACTCACCTTCACATTGCATAATAGCATCAAATATAACCGAGAGATCATTTAATAATTCAAATTCTTGACGGTTAATTAGAAACCGTTTGATTTGATTGAGTATATTTAAATCATAATCTTCCCGTGCTTTATCAGCGAAATATTTTACATGTTTGCGCATCAGACATGCACACTCCAGCAGTTTTTCTTGTCGCACCAAAGCGCAAGCATGTGCCTGCAATAAAAAAAGAAAACATTAAAAAAAATAATTCATAATCAGCCTTATTATAAATTAAATTACCTTTAATGGACTCAATTGCACACTGTATAACGAACCAGTTTGTGTAAAAACCACAATTTCCTTGCCAATTACACGACAATCCACAATTCGCTCAAATTGGTTGCACCACAAAACGACTGCCGATGTGCGCATATCAAATACATACAAACCGAATTCGGTAAAAGTGAGTAGAAAATCTTTGTTAAGCATTTGAATTCCAGCAAACTGTAAATTTTGCGACTGATATTCGAGCATTTCATCGTTTTCTTCGTATTTGGAAATTGTCTCTTCTTCAGTGCCGTGGAACTTATGTATTTTTACCGGTGGTATAGCTAGCGCTGTTTTAAACTGATGCGTTTGCAAAACTTCGCCTTCGAAATCTACCTCCCAAATTCGTGAACCTGGACGAGAACAGTAAATGCGTGATGGTTGTGTCGTTTCATTGTTAGAAATTGCAAAGCAAGCGCCAAATGCACCATCTCGCGGACGATTTCCAATCTTAAAGAAAAAATATAACTAGTTTAATATTTAAACAATAATAAAAAAATACGACATGCAATTAATTACCTGTTTATATTCTTCATACTCGGTGTTACATAAAATGCATTTATTGTAGTTAGAAACAAGTAGTAGTGACTCAAAATCATCAATTTGCACTATTGGCGATTCCAGAAATAAAATAGGATGCACACCCATATTGAGTAAACTCTTCCCCTGTTAAATATATGCTTACACAATTATCTTAATTTATAATTAAGACACTTTGAAAACTTACAATAAATGAGGAAAGTAGCACTAAGTTTACTTGTCCACGCGTATCACCATAGTAAAACTGCTTCTCATCCTGCGTCCAATGTATACATGTTACTTGTAAAGTTTGATCGCTGCTTAGATTCGTGAAGATCACTTGTGGGGTTGTGTGTGTAGAAATATTTACAGCGTACACACAGATCATTGACCGCTGTGTAGAGAATGCGACATACTTTTCATTTGCAGATATAGCTAAATGCGTCACTGGTCCATGTTTATTGGGTATCAGTTGTAAAAATTTACCAGAGCAGCGATTAAAGAGGTACAATGACCCAGAAGTAGCCCCAAAAATTACATAGTTTGTAGAAATATCGAAGCAAGTGTACTAAATAAATACAAACAACAAATTAAAATATAATACAACAAATCTAAATTTTGTGAATATTGTTTTATAAACAAAAGCTTGTCCCTCACCTTGATACGATTGCTGTGTTTAAGCGGCTCATGTAAAGTTTGAGAAAAATCAATAAAGTTTGTAAGACAATATAATTCCGTCATTGTTGCTCATGCCAGAGAAGACTACGTTTCGGAGTGATTTGTTAAATGCAAATAATTGTAAAAACTTTACAATTTTAATTCATATATAGAAAACAATGTTCACCCACAATTAATTTGTCTACTTTCACAAGTGGAATAGAAATTGCTACAACAATTGTGAAAGGTGAAAGAAGATGCCAGATGATGCTAAAGTAACGATACAGTAAAGGGTGCTGTTTTATACATTATAACAAGTGAAGTAACAGAACAACCACTACATATTCGTGTGAAAGATTTCCGTACAATATACAACAATTCATTTGGAACAGAGAAAAGATATGATATATCATATAAAATTTAAGCATATTGAAATTAAATAATGTAACTTTGGAAAAATATGGCAAATATCGATTATTATGTCTCATTACCATCCCCTTTTATCACCATATTTTGTGTTTTGCTCAGATCTTCTTAACGTTTGTCTACATTCGCATTTATTGCCTTTGGTCATTATTGTAATTCATTTAATTTCAAACACATTTCGAATAAGTTTGCATTTTCCGCGCAATTTTATACATTTACCAAATTTTTTTTAACACAAAACGATTTCAGCTGTTTGCAAAAATAACTGGACATATTAGAAACCACACGGCAAGAATTTACATTACATAGAGTAAAAGGACATGTCGTTCCATCTGAGCACAAAGGAGCGTCTATTGCTTTTGTTAGATGATATTGAATTGGTGGCAAAGTAAGTTACATTATACAAAATATAATTTGCAAAAAAGTTATAAATTTCTATCCACTAGAGAACTAATTGAAAATACTGTTGCGCCAAAGCATCAGAAAATTTCCACTGCGGACCATACCGCTCTTGTGGATTTGCTGGTGTCTAAAGATGAAGAATTCAGGAAAATGCTTGAATTGGCCGACGAACAGGCTAAAATTGAACAGAAAATGGACGAATTACGCGCTAAAGTTGAAGTGCATGTGAGTACTAATCACTATTCATAGTGAATATATTTTTTATTAGACACTAACACTTGCTGCAGGATCGTGAAATACAAAAGTTGCAAAAATCATTGAAGGAAGCAGAACTTATACTTTCAACAGCAATTTTTCAAGCACGCCAAAAGCTAGCCAGCATTAATCAGGCGAAAAAGCGACCGGTATCGTCAGAAGAACTTATTAAATATGCACATCGTATTAGTGCAGCAAATGCAGTAAGTGCACCGCTTACTTGGTGCATCGGCGATGTGCGACGCCCCTATCCTACCGATATTGAAATGCGCAATGGCTTTCTGGGTAAATCAGATTTAAATATAAATGGTGGTGGTGTGGCACACCAAAATAATGTACCGGATGCGCAACGCAGCATGACGGAAGTACCCAATGCCTTTCAAAATCAATTCAATTGGAATAATCTGGGTGAATTACATATGTCTATGGGATCTACTGGTAATTCTGTTGCTTTGGAGACACGTGCACACAAAGAGGCATCTCAAGATGATGTCGAGGTCATGTCGACGGACAGTTCTAGCTCGAGCTCCAGCGACTCACAATAAATTAATTCAAATAAATATTTTTTAAATTAATAAATAGTTACAATCCCTTTTATATAAAACAAATTTAACCTTTTTATTGAAGCTTACAAAAATACAAACGATACTTAAACATATTCTACAAACTAAGCGTTTTGTACATAAGATTGTCGTGTTTTGCTATTTGGATTTTGGCAATGGCATCAATTCGAATGCACCACTAGAACTCGATTTTTTACACAACCAAGCATTGTTGGCACTTTTAGTGACACCACCGCGACCTCTAATACTTGTACTGGCGACTGCTTTTCGATGCGTCGCTCTTGGCGTTGTTTTGCCTCCACCTCTCGCTTTTCCGGTTGCGCGTTTCGCGGGGCTTTTACCGCTCGTTGCCCACCCTGTAGTTTTTTTCGTACGTTTTGCGCCGCCACCACGCCACGCGCGTTTACGTTTACGTCCACCACCACTGCTATTCATACTGCCTTGAGAAGCTGCTGCTGCTGTCCAACCGATCTCATCATCCTCATCTAAATCGTCAGAAACTGCGGTGGTAGGCGGCCGTGTATCCGCCTTCGCTGCTTTGTTCTTGTTTGCTTTTTGCAATTGTTGCTGCTGATGCGCATCTTCCAAATCCATTAAAAGGCACAGCTTTTCGGCAGCATAATTGCGTGTAATTTCCAACATTTTACCACCATATTTTTCAAAATTCGCCTTCGTAACATGAGGTATGCTCAACATATCCTTCTCAGACTCTGGCAATTCTTCTGACATCGCTTTCAATGCTTGCATATTCATTATACTAGCCATTGTAACACTACGCGCCGCAGCTATCGTACGACATAAATCTAAAAGGTCGGAATAGCAACGTTCATAGATTGAACGTAGTTGTGTTGCCTCAGCTGCGCTATCTTTTGTAACCGCAATACCGCTACTAAATCCAGGTAGTGGACGCTTTGCATTCTCTTTACGCGAAATAGCAAATTTTAATGCAACACTCTCTTGCATTAGCACCTGCACTTTGGGACCCAAATAAATATATGCCTGCGGTATATCATTGGAAAATATTAAGTCTTCACGCAGGTAACCCTCTAAAACCATTTTTCGCAACAAACGTTGTATGTCCGATTTGTCCCAATCTTTGAATACAGCATGATGTGGCGTTTTGTCATGACCGCATTCCACGATGCGTTTAATTAAGGAACCCTTCAGTACATCAGCTATAAAATGAGAAATTAATCGTGTAATTATCCAAACTGAAAAATCTAAAGTTACCTATATGTAGTAGCGTGAATCGTGAGCGTCCGCTACAAATTTCTTTAACAGCACGTGCTACCTTACGGCATTGTTCCAACACATTCATTTCCTGCAATTCAAAATTTTATATAATTGTTAAAATTTTAATAGCAAATTTTTTTGTAGAAAAAATATTGTAAAAATCATTCGTAAAATGATTTCATCTGGTATTACTAATATCGTTTACTATATTTACCTGATAAGTATTCTTCTTAAGGCAATTATCACAGGCCGTCTCTCTTCGCTCGAGACATTGTTCGCTAGTAAAATGTTCGCCAAAGTAGTCGAGTTGTTGTGCTCGTCGACAATCGGTAACATTTTCACAGTAGCCCACAATACGATTTAAATTATCTAAGTGTATTTTCTTCACGTCTAAAGCGACGGAATTATCCACTAAATTTAATTGAAATTAAGGAAATTAAAAAGTTTAGCAAATTTAACTCATATTCATTAATTACTTACAATCCAAGAGCTTTTTCATTCTCATCATATCCGAGTAATTGTAGTAGAGCAAACAGTGCGCTATATCACCATCACGTCCCGCTCGTCCAGCTTCTTGATAATAACCTTCAATTGATTTTGGCAACGAAAAATGTAGCACAAAACGCACATCTGGCTTATCGATACCCATGCCGAATGCTATCGTCGCACATATCACACGTACCTTACCAGTCAGCCAATCCTTCTGACGCGTCTCGCGTATAGCATCTGTTAAGCCAGCATGATAGGCTAGCGAATTAATGCCAGACGCATGCAATTTGTTCGCCACATCTTCGCATTCCTTACGCGACAGGCAATACACTATGCCACACCAGTTTGCAGGACGTGCACGTATAAATGCTTTTATTTCATCCAAAGTGCTAGCGCCGCGTTTAGGTAATACGGCATACTTTAAATTACTGCGATTAAAACTAGATAAGAACCATTTGGTGTGCGTTAAGTTTAATTGGCGTAATATATCGATGCGTACACGTGGCGTAGCTGTGGCGGTTAATGCCATTGTTGGTACTTTGGGAAAACGTTTACGCAGTATGCCGAGACGCTTGTAATCTGGACGGAAGTCGTGACCCCACTGTGAAACACAATGTGCCTCATCAATAACAAAGCGACTAATGTAATTTTTCTCATACAAATCATCAAGCATGTCTTGAAATTGTGGTGAGCTTGATATTTTTTCGGGTGTAACGTAAAGTATTTTAATGCGTGGCGGGCTTGTTTTCAGATCACAGTAAATGGCGCGCACCTCCTGCAGTGTCTGCGTACCAGATAAATTCTTCGCATATATCTGTTACAAGCAAATACTATTTAAAGAAAAACACTAAAACAATACCGAACTACTTACATCCAACGACTCCAACTTATTAACTTGATCAAGAATTAAAGATTTCAGTGGACTAATAACCAACGTAACGCCTTCACTTAGTAATGCGGGCAACTGATAGCAAAGTGACTTTCCACCACCGGTTGGCATTAATACAAAACAATCATGCCCTAATAATGCGGCGTTGATCACTTGCAATTGATTGGGTCGAAAGCTTTTCAGACCAAAGTTGCTGCTCAACGCCTCTTTGACGGCTTGTGAGTGCGCATACTTAGTGCCATCGAACTCACCGGTAATACCATCATTATGTGTATCTGCATGGAAATTACCATCGATTTTTTGTGCAGGTTTCACGGGTGATGCATTAGAGGTTGTCGTAATGGACGTATTAAGTTTGCGCATACTTGCAGCACTTGTTGATGGCATGTCATCATATTCATCATCGCTTAGCATAATATTCATTATCGGCACTATAGAACTCTTATTGGGGATAGACGTTTTTGACACTGGCGAATCGAGCAATATAGCCTGTGAAGCGGCTATTTCAAATTTTTCCGGATCGTAAACTTGCCATCCGTCATCATCAGTTTGAGTTAACCATTGCTGCAAGTCTTCTGGGGTTATTTCTGCCACCTCTTGAACTGCCGTTTTAGTATTTGTGGACTGTTTCGGCGTAGCTTTGTCTTCGAAATCTTTATATGAGTAGTTGTTGTAATTTGATTTACAACCACGTAGTAAATTATCGTTATCCTTTATATCTGCTAGTAAAGCCTCCAGTTCATCTTCATCTGGTTTCGGACTTTGTGAAGTTAATTTTTCCGATGCTTCGTCATCTAAAGCGGCAGCTTGTGTTAAATAACTTTTTTGCAAAGCTTCATCGTCAGTATCATCGATAGTCAATATATCTGCTTCATTTTTGTGGCAATCTGGTGTTCTGGAATCATCAATTGAAGAGGATGGTGTAATTGATACATTACTAAAAATGCTTTGAGGTGTGTTTGTTGGAGATATATCCAACTTTTGCCATTTGCACTCTTCAAGCATCTGCATTTCTTCCGCCTCTAATGCATCGTAGTCCACATCGGAAACGGTAAGAGCCTGCAGATTTCGGGTTTGCTTCTGACGTTTTTCTAATTCAGTTTGTACAAGTTTTGAACGAGCTTTCAATTTATTACGCATTGTTTTCAAACGTAAATAAACGCTTTTGTCAAAACCATGGATACCATCAAAATAGTTTATAGGCACCTGATCAATAATTTGAGCAAATTTTTCCAATAAGTCGTAATAAGAAGATTTGAAGAAAGTGTTACTTGTTTTAAGCTCCAAATCTGTGGCCTAAAAATAAAAAATAATAATAATAATAAATGTAAAATAAATGCGGCTCTCTGTAGACGTTGTTGTAGCTAAAACCACAATAATATTACTTTCTTACTTACTTCCTTTGTACATATTTTAAACGTCGAATCTTGTTCGATCATATTCAATTGATCGGATAGCTCTGTATCAATAGTAATTTTTGGTTTTCTTACAACAGTTTCATTATCTTTACTTTGTTGAATAGCATTAGAATTTTCATATGCACGATATAAAGGAAGGTTTTTCGTACCACCTGTAGGGGATATCAATACTTTTGGTGGTGATTCCTTACTTATATGATTAAACTCTAAGTAATCGTCATGCAACATTTCGTTACCAAGCGTCTTTTGCTCATTTTCAACGTGACTTGTTTTACTTGTAACTGTGTTTTGATCCTTTGCTGAAAAATTCACATCTGTCCGCATTTTATCAATAATGTTCACATTCTTATGAGGACTGCCCTTAACTTTGTTGTTTAAGTGTGCTAAATTTTCCAGAATAATGTCCTTCGTACCATTTTCAGTTACATATTTACATCTTGCTGTTTTAGTACTCATATAATCAACTTTATAATCCGTTTCTTCTTGATTTACGCTTTTGTGCAGATCTATTTCATCGGAATGTTTTTCGTTTTTTAGCGAATAAATGCTATAATTATTAGATATTGGTTTTATTATACTATTATTGGTGTTCTTTTTATTTTCCAAAGGCGCCAGTGGTGATTGACTGCAGTCATCAAATGTGTAACGATGCACAATTGCCCGCGATACACCACTATTGCTGCTGTTGTTACAATTCGTGTAATTTTCATCATCGGTCTCGTCTTCACTTGAGGAATCCACAAATATTGGGTTCAGCATTTTTGTTGATTGCTGTTTCCGCACAGGTGCATAAGCAACACTTTTACAATTTGTAAGTTTTGTATCATTATTGTTGATTCGTGTGACTGGTTTTGATGTCCCAGTCGGATTCTTCTGTTTAGCCGACTTCTGCCCGGTATCATTATTTACAGAGCCTGAGCGTGTCGTGTTTCCCTCTAAGAACGAACTCAGCGATAATTGTTTTTTGAACATGGCAGATCTGTCGAATGACTTTGACTGACTCATTTAATTTTTTATCTAATTTATATAAAACATAACATCCTTTTAGCTTACAAAGGGGATTTTTTTCTTTTATGGCTTGCTGTTTTCTACATTGACATTTGCTTGCTGTGCCAGATTAATGTACTTGATTATTTTATCAACTACTTGAATGCAATTTTGGAAAAAAAAATATATGTTATATTTTTGCCCATTTTCTTAAATTGTTTGCTTACAAATTATTCTCTTTAATAATGGAATAAATATTATCAAATACCTTTCGTTTAAAGGAAAAATTCAAATACCACTTCAAATACGGGTAAGGTTATAATGTAATTTTTAACAAAATTATTTAGATATTATATATTGAATTCATATTAATAATATTATATATCACTTACTTAAATAATATTAACATTAAATTTAACGGATATTAATTTTTGAGCAAATAATACATAAGTAATAAGAATGCAGTGGCAATAACTTAAAAATATGTATTACTTAATACAACCATGTTTTACTTTCTTACCGACGCCTCATGTGTAAAAAAATATTTATTATGAGAGTCGTATCTTGTCAAGAATTTGTTTAAGAATTGTTTAAAGATAATTTTATGATTTCGTGTTAATCGTTATAAACTAACTAACTGTATCAAGTTTGTTTGGCTTCGAAAAAAACAGGTCCGTTTCAACCTAGTAGTTTCATAGGAAGCAGTCACATATCAAAATGCGAATGTAAGTAGAGCTTGCAATTAATAAAAATAATCTAATCCATTGGTATGTTTATAGGCGCGAAATTTTCAAAACACCTGGTGAAGATTCCGAATCCGATGAATTGAATGAATTAGCGGATGTAGAGGATGTTGAAGATGCCGCGGTGTTCGAACCAATTTTGTTGGAGCCCTTTGATTCAGAGGACTCTGAAGTCGAGTATGGAATCGCATATGGCAACGTCAGTATACCGAATCGACAACAGTCGAATGGAGAAGACTCTGACTTCGGACCAGATGGTGATGAAGATGAAGACAGTTCAGATTTTCAACCAGATGATTCGGATGATTCGATGTCGGATACTGCTAATAAAGAAGTTATCAGAAAATCCAAAGCAAATTTAGGCGATGATACCGGTGCAAGTTCAAGTGGTGTTAGTAGAAATAATGATGGTGCAGTTAGTAGTGTATTAGAACTTAATGAAGATGAAGAGGATGATGAAACAGTCCGAGCCATAATTGCGGCCATAAAAAAACCTCGTACCGCTCCACCAGAAATCAAATTGGATGATTTCATAACGGATATTTGTTTTCATCCGGAACGTGATATAATAGCACTCGCTACGATTACAGGGGATGTATGTCTATATGCCTATGCAAACGAGGGTAATACACAGCTACGAAATATTGAAATACATGCAAAATCCTGTAGAGATGTTGAATTCACCGAAGATGGCCGTGATTTACTAACTTGTTCCAAAGACAAATCCATTATGATAACCGACATGGAGACAGAGAAGCTAAAAAAATTCTATGAAAGTGCGCATGATGAAGCTATAAATAAATTGCACATCATTGATGAGAACCTCTTTACTACTGGTGATGATGGGGGTACGGTTAAACTTTGGGACATACGAACTAAAGACTCTATATTTGCGTTAAAAGAAGTTGAAGATTTTATATCACAAATGCTCACTAACGAATCGAAGAAATTGTTGTTGGTCACAAGTGGTGATGGCTACCTTACCACAATTAACATAGGATCACGCAAGCTATTTGTACAATCTGAACCCTATGAAGAGGAACTCCATTGTATGGGTACATTTCGTGGCAATTCGAAACTAGTCGTGGGTACATCAAAAGGTCGCCTTTATACATTTAATTGGGGTCAATTCGGTTATCATTGTGATATGTATCCAGGCATTAATACACCAATCAGCGAAATGATACCTATTACGGATCGTATTTCTTGTGTGGCGGGTGAAGAGGGTATAATACGTGCTTGTCATATAGCACCATTTCGTAATCTGGGCATTGTGGGGCAACACAATATGCCAGTTGAAAATTTGGACGTTTGTAATTCCGGTGAATTGATTGCCTCGTCGTCACATAATAACGATGTACGCTTTTGGAATGTAAAATATTTTGAAGATTTTGCTGACATTAAATACAATGAAAAGCACAACACATTTAAGGATAAGCGACACAATTTACCATCTTCGAAATTCACAAATGCTGGTGACTTTTTTGCTGATTTGGCAAAATCACCCAGTGATGACAATGAATAGAAATGGTACTTTGAACATATAGGAATAATATACGAAGTAAGGTATAAGAAATTTGCTGTATGTATTGTAAATTTTTGTAAGAAAGTCGTGGTTAATTATAGAGCAATTAAAACGAATTGCATTTTTATTGTTTATTTTGAAACGAGATATGTATGTGATATTTGATTTAATTTCGAATAACTTATTCTTGGCAAGTATATGTATATGTATTTTTGCAAATATAAACTGAATGCAATCGCAGACAAGAAGTACCCACAACAACATATATTTCCAACCAAGTTGTTGTTGAAACGGTTACCTAATCCCCTCTTGGATGGTAAGAGTCAGTTTAGTTGTTGTCGAAGTCATCTAACGGGAGGCCCAGGAGAAAGATGTTAGATGAGTGGGGTTCGTTGGACATACAAGAGGCATTCCGTGATGAACCGGAGTGGTGCACTGTTCTGACATGTCTGAAGCTTCTTCGTCTACGTTGCACTACATCCAGGCGACCATATCGGTGCGGCGTAGTTTTAGAATTATTGGAATTTAAACGCCATCGACGGTGTCCACCGACGTCAATATCGTGCATTCATCAGCATAAGAGGACATGGAAATTCCCTCTGGTGGTTGGGGGAGTTTTGAAATATGGAAGTCAAACAGTAGCGGGGAGAGAACCCTGTTTAATTCTTCTCAGCTTGGAATTTTGATCTCGAAACAGTACGGATGAATGCCGAACGCTCAGGTAGTTCATAGGTCACCTCTTCATCCCTGGAGGGAGCGTGAATTGTTCGATGTCCTCAAGTAGCGTTGCATGATTAACTGTGTCTAAAGCTTTTGAAAAGTCCAACGCTACCAGATGCTATGCACTTTTCGGAAGCCATGCTGGTGGTCTGCTAGAGTTAGGTGGTGTGAGAATATCGGAAGTAGCAAGGCCTCAAGTGCCTTCACTACTGGGGAAAGGAGAGTTATCGGAATATAAGACTGCCCTTTGTTGGCGGTTTTCCCAGGTTTCAGTAGTGGGACCACACTTCCGACTTTCCACACATCGGATATTTGAAGAGTGGTCAGCGACATGTTGAGGACCTTGGTGAGGTAACTTACCCCATCGAGCCTAGATGTTTTAGCATCAGCATGTTTATTCCATCAGTTCCAATAGATTTGGACGATTTTGCCTTGTTGATGACACTCTGAACCTCCCCATCGGTGAAATGAAGTGGCGCGCAGTCTTTTGAGCAACCGTCCAAAGTTTATTTACACCGGTTGAGAGGTTGCAGGACTTCAGATGCTCTAGCCATTTTGTCCGCTTATGTTGGTTTACCATGTGCCGAATCTCCAAATTAAGATCCCTTATTCGGGGATCACAGGGATCGGCATGGCGTAAGGTATCGCGCTCGTTGTCTAAAACAGCTGCTTCGTCTGGGAAATTGGAGCGGAGTTCCGCGATTCTTTCAGCCGGTATGAAACGAGCAATAGCTGCAGCGATCACCTTGCGGAATTGACGCGCGCCAACGATGACATCCGTTGGAATGGGTAGTGCGATGAAGGTGCTCCCGGTAAATTCTGTGAAGCCGGTATAGTTAGCTTTGTGGTGCGGTTGTCCACAGAAATGAAGTCGGGAGGTTTTTCGATCAAGATAATTATGGGCAGGTAGTCTGATGCGAGAGTTAGCATAGGTCATCGCCTATCTGTTCCGCCAGTTTCGATCCCTTACGATCGTTTGACAGGCAGGAGTACCAAAGGTGTGCGTTAAAGTCTCCAAGCACCAAACGGTTTTCACCACGAAGTAGCGCACCTATGTTCGGGTGATATCCTCTTAGGCAACATGTAACAGGGGGGATGTATATATTAAATATCTCAAGATCGACATTGATTGACCGTATTGCTATACCCTGACATTCTAGGGTAGTATCCCTGCGGTCGATGTCAACATCGATTAAGACGATATTGCACGGTGTTGTGCAGTATGAAGGCTAGGCCTCCACCATTATCTCGCTCGCGTTCCTTACGTATAACGTTGAAACCTGCACAACTCAGAAGATCTGAGCGGCTGTTTAACTTGGTTTCTTGAACCGCAGCTATCGATAGGCGTTCATGAATGCAACTATCTCCTAGATCTTGCTCTGGAGTCTGTTGCAGTTAAATTGTAGGAGTCGGGTTTGTCTCGGGTGTCTAGGTACTATCATAGTCCTCTCTGCGTGTCTTCTAAATCATTTATGCATTGTACTATAGTGTTGTGCATATGAATTTTGTAGATAGATCTTTCTATACATTTTATAAGTTAACAATAAATTTTTTTTTTAAAGAAACCACAATATATTATATATATGTTTTTCCAAAGTCTTACACATTTTATTAAACTTCATTTTTATACATATTTCATTAAAAATTCACGGTTACAAGCATTCTTTTACTCATCACCAGTTATTGTAGAATTCTATTTTTTAAAAATTGTAAATTTCGAAAGTACATACAGAGTTCAGTGTTGTGTTTCCTTATGGGCATTTTTTTTTTTGGGGGTTGGGCAAAAATGTGTTATATAATATTTACTTTACTCGAGTTTAGCAATAAGAGTGTATGATTTCTGTAAGGTTTGCTTGTTTAATGAGCTATTAAAAATTAAATAGAAACAACTAAATTAAAAATTTTATTTTGAATCCTAAATACCGGTTTGAAAAATAATTGTAATCTAAAGCTTACAATTAAAAATCAAATGTTTCAGAATTTATATTATATATTTTCGCGTTTGCGTACTTCCTGTTCTGCTACATTCAACTAGTGCTCACACAAATTCATCATCTTCAATACTCCATTCAAACGGTTAATGTTTTAACAATTTTTGTTTTAAGATTTTAAGACGTTTAAGGTTAAAAAAAAAATTGATTTTTATTGTTAAATAGAAAAATTAAATTTTCAAATTTTAATCCCAAACATCTTGAATGAAAATTTAATTTTTAAGTCCAACATCTTGGATTAGAAACTAAATTTTTAATTCCGATTTTGGCATTAAAAAATAGATTTTCTAATTAAAAAATTCCCAAACCTGACGTCAATACACGAAAAAATTTATTGAACAATAATTTTTGTATTTTTATTTTTATTTGTGGGGGGTTCGTGAAAATTTGGAAGAACCAGACATATACAAATCTTTATGTATTTGTGTCCGTTAATAAATAAAGCTTTTAATAAGTTCGTTTAATAAATTGTGTGGTTATGAACATAACGATATGAATACTTGTATATAGTGTTGCAATTTCTTACACAAATTAAATATATATATATATAAATATTATTATTATTACAATTTTATGGAAAAGACATTGTGAAACCAGTCAATTAATGCCAATGTTGTATATTTTCAATATAAATTGTTTTTTTCTTGGTATAAATTGCCTTTTTTTTGCTTAAAAAATTATGTTGTTAAAGTTTCGTTGTTTATGTAAGTGAATGTATGCAGCTTCATCTTCTATTTAGAAAATATTGAATTTTGTGCTTTAATGTGTATTTAGAGTAAAGTTTAGATTGAAAAAAAGTTATTAGATGTGTATTGAACAAAGTGTTATACTTTTTAGACAGCTTTGCATTTTCAAATGTAAAAGCAAAATTTTTTTCGTACGAAAAAAATATTTAAATTATTGTATGGCTGCCTTAAACCTAAATATAAATTATAACTTAAACAGCAGAAAAAAAATTGCCTAGCAGCACAACGATAAGTAAAATAAGAAGTTTTAATAACATAAATATTTAATACTTAATTTATAAATCTTTTTTTTTCCTTTGGAAGGTAAGCATATAAATTGCACGAATTTAATTAATAATATATGTATATATGTATGTATATGTATGAGAGCTTTATAGCTGCATATAATATTAATTGTACATATCGTTTAAATAATAATTTATTAATCATTTTTACTTTGTAGTTATAAATTACACTGTTGGTGAGTGAAATACGAAAATTTGTATTCGTATCGCAAAATGTTACAGTAAAACATACGAAGACATAAACTTTTTGGAATGACCAAAGTTAAAGTTAAATTTTTCAACTCAGAATATACTTTATTTGCACTGAATTGGGAAAAATACAGTTAAGCATTAGTAAGCACAGTATGCAATTATATATATTTTCCATGCCGATTGCGAGTATACCAAATGACAATTAATAAAATTAGTCGTTATGTGACTGAATGCAAAACATATTTGAAAGTATGAGAAATTTTGAACATTCTCTGCAGTTGCACATAACGCTAGCGCCTGTGCATTGTGCTCTGTCTGTCCTTATACTTTATTTGATATGTAATATTTGTATTCAAATATTTTCAAATAGTGTGTCATTTAGCTCCCACATGTGTTTTCATAAGGTAAATTTCGCTAATTGTCTATAATTAACTATGAAAATGGATACAATATATTTTGTGCATTTTTACTTCGATATTCGACATTTCAAACTAATAAAAGATCAAGCCATGACAACTGCTGCGGCTGCGTATCGAATTGTTAGTTGTTAATGTAGTGTCTGTATAATTGTGTGTATGTACTTTCGACTGTTAGACTTGCCTGTAACTCGCAATTCTTTTCTCTATACTGTGCGTTTATTTTAAAATTTCTTGATTAGTCGTTTCAATATCTTAATATTATGTTTTCTATTCAATTTATATTTCTGTTCACTGCTTATCTACTAGAATATTATCAATAAAAACAACTTTGAGTGTGAATGCTTAGCACCCTGAAAAAAATTGCTACCAAAAGGGACGAAACAATCCCACAACCAAGTAAAGGACGGAAAACTTTAACAACTACTTACATGCACATCATAGCTTAGTGCAAAGTCAGACCTCCTCACTTAACTCGGCTGTGGGTTTTATGCTTCATTCTATGATTTACACACAATTTTCCACTTTTGCCGGTTTTAAGCACTTTGTGCTAGCTAACATTACAGCCTATAGCCATTACTACCGCCTACACCACTACTACTGCTACTCACAGCACTGCCGTGTGATGTGGATGCCGTCGTCGCTGCAGCTGCCTCTTGCATAGCCTTCTGTTTGGCTCGTCGATTTTTTTGTCGCGTATGTTCGATTTGGAAATCTTCGACACGTAAATTTAGCCTTTGTATATTATTGATAATGAAATCCTCTTCGAGCACATGCTCAGGTGGTGAGCGCAGCACCTCTAATGTCTCACAAAGTCCATTACACTGTTTACGAACTTTGTGTTGATTTAGTGAAGCACCAATTATCACTAGTGCTACTTTGAAGATGACACGTATGCCTTCGGCGAGAAAGCAATCCCAAACTCGTAACAGTGTTTCCCATGGTAATGTTCTTGTCATAGCGCATAGAAACCAATCGGTCATATAGAGTAACGGTTCGACTTTGTGCTTTTGCAGATGTCGGTATGCGGGTGGGCAGGTTTTTTTGAGGAGCCCCTCCAGTATGCCAGCATCATTTTGCAGCACCTCAAGACCAGTAATGAAATAGTCTTCTAAGTAACTATAAAAAAAAAATAGAAAAGCAATAATTTTAAATATGTATGTACAAAGAGGTTATGAGGCAAATGCAAGCACTACATGTTTAAAGTAAAATTAATCTCAATTGTATTTTTGTTCTGTTGTAATTATACCACTATAACATTTATGTAGCTGCCATACAAACTGAACGCTCAAAATCAAGTTCTTGTATGGAAAACTTTTATATTTGACTAGATATCTTCACAAAAATCGCCATTAAAGCAATGCTACACAATTTAAACAAATTTCAAAGCATATAATGGCCATATAAACCGAAAGATCAAACTCAGTACTTGTATGGAAATTTTTTTTTATTTGACAATATATCTCCAAATTTTAGATCACACCACTATAGCATATAGCCATATAAACTGAAAGATCAAAATCTAGTCCTTGTATGGGAAAACTTTTTTACCTGTGAAGAGGATTCGAGCTTCGGAGCAACCGAAGTTAACGTTTATCTTGTTTTTTTTTTTTTTTATAAGCAACAATATACCAGAAAAATAAGCTAAAAATTAGGTAATTATTTACTAATAATTTAATTGTTTTTTTAATAATAATTTAAAACGCTTAACTTACACATCACAAACACTAACAAACACCCAAAACGCATCTTCTGCCGGTAGGTGCATAAGCAGGAAGGCAGCAATGGGCGCTTGCGCTTGACAAAAGCCCACTTTCGGATTGTATATTGAATACGCTTTTAATACATTAAACAATTCGATTTGTCCAACTTTATCCTCATCCAAAAACATTTCATGAAACGGAAATTGACGATGTTTGTCTTTTTTGATCTCTTCGATTACATGTGGATTACCGGGTTGTTCAAGTAGTTCTTTGTAGACAGTAGGATTTTTCTTTTTTAATAAATAAGCACCAGAAAGATAGAACCAAGCACGTGGACGAACCGATTTTGGTATACCTTTGCGACAGCGATCACGAATCTGTCAATTAAAAAAGGGAACTTTAATGTTACTTTTATAAATTAAACAACTTCAAAAAAGCACACACCTTTTTGTAATTTTTGGACATATATAATGACCAATTATCAATCATATACAACCACTTCTTTTCTCTTGCAATAATTTGTGCCTTTGAGAGTGGTTCTTTTGGTTTTTCTGTGCGCTGAAAGCCACCATAAAAGCCGTTGCGATCTGGGCAACTGGAAACGGTTGAACATAGTGATATTGTGTCAACGGAACGTGGTGATGTCGCCATTTGTAAACTATAAAAAAAATAAGTATTTGAAAATTGCATATTTGTACAGATTTATATATTATATAAAATTAAAATTAATTATTAAATATTAATAAATGCTTAAATATATATGTATATGTATATGAATATTCTAAAATAAATATACATATATGTGTGCAAATGTGCATATATCATTTCCAGGCGCCATTTTAATAAATTAACATACCTAAATATAGTGTAAGTTTTGTAAATTTTAGAAAACGTGCATCATACACGCAAATAAATACATATTTAGAAATAAATCAATTCAAGTCATTTAATTTTGAATCATTCGTAAATAGACAAATGTATTTACATACAAATGCATTTGTTGTATGTTTGTGTTGTATGCATGTATGTATATGCTAAATTCAAATTGATGGTGTGCATCTGTAGTACTACCTCCCACTGCTAACTGTGTGTTTCGGCTGCAGCGACAGAAACATTAAACTGCGCCGCAAAATATTTCAAAGGGCGTAGAATGTTCTGTTGTAATATTCCGAATTATATAAGTAAATTTTACCACATTTTATGTAAATATTTAAGTTTTCACTCTCAATATTATAAAAACAATTTTGTTCATATTGTTCATGTATAACACATTTTGTCAGGTGGAAAGTCGAAAATTATTATATAGGCTATATTGGAGACAGAGAAAGGGATGGGCTGATTGAATTAATTTTGACATTGCTGAGTTATACTTGAGATCATATTTTCAAGCAATTTTATAAATATGTAATACACACATTGAATGACATGTTCGGCATAAGGTTTGTTAGAATAACGAAAATCAATATATGTAGGTAGTATTTGGGAGTTGGTTATTGAGCATATTACATATTGACTGATATATGTATATATGGCCTAAGGACAACCGGAAGTTTGAAAATCTTATATGAGCTATACGAGCCGACCCTATACGAATTTTGATCCGATTTTGTCTATTTTTGGGCAATATAACACACTATTAACAGAATAAAATACTCCCTCATGTTCATTAAGGTACCTCACATACCATCACTAACATATGTGGAGTAAAATAAACCGGATGATTGAAAATTCTGTGATTTGTTATATAATATAAGGGCTAGGCCAAGTGTTCACCCGATTTTACTCATTTTTGGCACGAAGGTGAAGCATTATAAGGAAAACACATACACTTAGTTTTATTGAAATAGTTCACATATTAACCGATATATGCGGTATAAAGTAAACCGGAAGTTCGAAAATATTTTGATAAGGCAGGTATATGGGGTATAAGGAAAGTATTAAATGAATTTTTAAATACTTGCATACTCTTATCAGGAAGAGACTTTCCACGAATTGCAATAATATATCTCACAGATTGACCGTTGGAAGTAGGCGTGGTTGTTATCCGATTTAGCTCATTGTGAGATGGAATTGTTAAAAATTTATGTACCACATTTTGTTGAAATTGATTAAGTAGTTAGCCCAAAATCTGGGCGGTGTTACTCCTATCTTCCAATTTTGACAACGGTTCCTTTAAATCGCACTTTTTGTAGTTTTTAACAAAACCATTATATAGGGAGTTGACGGCGTTATCATCCGATTTCATTCATTTTCACATATTTATATGTATATATATTTATTTATTCTGTGTTTGGATATGTACATTTACTCATTAGGAGGCGGGGCCACGCCCACATTTGAAAAATTTTTCAACCATAGGTGCCTCTTCCCAACACAATCTTATCTGATCATTTACGTCCCTGAGTGTTACAAACTTCGTGGCAAAATAAATATAATAATATATACAAATTTATTACTTTTTATGCAATCGGACATAGGCGTTTTGTATAGTGAAATTTCTTGTATAACAAATATAGACGCTTATCAAGCTTTGTGGTAATGTTGCAACACTTCACCCGCAGTGATATCTAATTATATAATATACAAACATTACATACATATATATTCACATATGTAGGTACTCAAATGTATGTACATACATACATATGTGTAATAATTTATACATCATGAAATGTCTCCTTTATATATATTTGCCAATTTGAAGACTAAAAAGGAAGCTTGTTGCTTTAATTGTGTTTACTACGTCTTGAATATTAATGCATTTACTATGAGGTTTTATTATTAGGTTGCCTTCAACGTACAAACAAGTTGTGGTATTACGTACACCGACTTATTTATTTTGTTGACATGAACCCTACATATTGTTCATATGTATGTACGCATATCTTTATTGCGCAAAGCATAAAAATGAGTAACAGTTTGTTCTGTAGATAATTTTATTAGACGATAACTCCGCTTTTTAAATACCTACCCGTTTACCTGTCAAACACCCACAAACAATAGTGATCGTTCGACAACATCAACCCACCTATAATCGCGAATACAAAACAATAATAGCAGCTAACATTAATAAATCAAAAGGTTAAAACAATTGAATATAACATGGTCTTTTTTATAATGAGCGAGTTTATTTACATTAGCAAATACCCTTTCCTAAAGTGGTACTAGCGCCCCCCTAAACAACAAAAAAATATATATAACCACCTACATACCTGTGTTGTGACACTAACGTCTGGAGCGCTTCTTGCTTTTTTAGTTCCAGAAACTTGTGTTCTTTTCGTTGCTATAACTTTAGGATATTTTAACTTACACTATTATTTATATGTAGTGAATTTATGTCAATATTTCCGTGCGCAACTTTCTCATTTTGTTTATTGGAATTTTTGTTCTGTCCTATTCACCTAATAGAAAGGCGAAGTTAAAAACCAATTAGAAAATAAAAGCGTAGGTTCACGTTTACAAAAGTACGCACGAAACTTGTTTTATTATTAGAATTTTATCCGACATTCCCTTTTATCATTTCAAATGGACACGTTGCAAAACACCACCTTTTTGTACTTTTTAATACAAAATGTATATTTTGTATATGTTTAATATATATTAAATTGATGTATTTTGTACAAACTTAAAAATATTCACTTCATTCGCTTTTCTTTCAGTTTTCTTTGTGGCAATGACAAAGTTGACAACTTCTTAGTCGCAGGGTTGCTCCATATAAGTATAAACTTTATAATTTGCAGTTTCCAACACTGCAAACAGCGAGAGAATGGAATATTTGCTTGATATATATTATTTTCACGTGGAGTACGGTATATGAATAAAATATGGATATATTAAAAATGTTTTAAAATTTGTTTAATCTCAACTCGTTAAAATAATCTCATATATTATATTATTATACTACCGTAATAGTATCAATATTAATATTAAAATTATATGGCAACGCCATGTGTAAAAATGTCAGATTTCTATTTGACGTTTTACAATATATTTAAATTAGACGCTCTCTTTTATATTGTTCACCACGAAAATTTCTTTAAAGCCTGTTAATTTGTTTATTTTACCTGTTGAAATGGCGATGGATCTTGAGAAAATCTGCCGTACTTGTTTGGCACTTGGGGGTCCACTACTTTCCATATATGATGGTGGTGGGGGCGGTGGATGTATTGCTGATATGCTACGAAATTTTACTAAAACCAAGGTATGTACCCCTTGAAATCGTATTAATTGGTGATTTCCTATACAAGACTTATTTTCCATGTGTAGCCACGACGGGAAGATAAACTGCCCGAAAAGGTTTGTTTATCTTGTATTAGCGAGATTAATCGTTGCTACTCATTTAAGTTGAAATGTGAGAACTCATGCAGAACACTGAGGCAATTGGTACCTGATGCGCCTCCAGAAGAAACGGAAGAGGAGCTGTCAAAAGTAAAGGTGGTACAAGTTAATAAGTGTGTCCAAACTAATGATGAAGTGCTGAAACAACTAACTACAGTTCACACACAAACAAAAGAAAACGTGGTGCCGCAGACTAACCGGTATGTGCAAACCGCGCCAATATGCAATATAACACATAACAAATCAACGTCCCCTATACGTGTGAAACCAAATAATACCATAAGATTTGATAAAATAAAATTAGAAAAAACTTTAGGAGTTGAATTTGGCGAAGAAATTGAAATTGTCGAAAGTAGTAAACTTCAACGCCGAAATAATGTGCATCACACTTTAGCACTCAAGCGACGTCGAATAGATGAAAGATACGAAGAGGTTGGAGAAGATGGAGAAGAAATTATTATGGAATTGCATACAGATGAACCGGATATTGTCGATAATTCAGAAGGAATTACATTATATTCGACACTACATGCCGCCGTACAGGATACAGAAGAAGTTAACGATAATACAACTACGTATTATCAGCTAACCCATTCACAATCTGAAAATGAAAGCGAAAGCGAAAACATTACCGTAAATAATGAGAATATAATAAGCGAAACGAGTCAATTGCGAGATTGTGATGAAGAATTTGAGGAAGATGGTGTTTATGCACGATTTATTTATACCGCAGAAGAAAATGAGGCATTTAATACTGGCGATGGGAATACGCATTCCGAGGATTACGATTTCACAATTTTTAAAAATGATACTGGTGAAGCGGAAGTCTTAGCAAAGCCCACAATGACAACGCGTTCATCAAAAGCAACTGAAGGAAATAATGTTCGTGTGCTTAAAGAGGAGCTGAAGTGTTGTCATTGTCCGATGACATTTGTTAGTTCTAAACGTTTAGCACGACACAAATTGAAGCGACATGGAAGTGAACAAACACGCAAAGAAAATGAATCAAACTCTGAACAGGAACCATCTAAGCCAAAAGTAAGACCAATTTTATTGCATCCCAATTTTTGTACATAATTGTATAAATTATTATTGTTTTTTTTTTACGTCATTAGGACACCTTAGAAAACTCGGAAATGAAGAATATTGATAATGAAGATAAAAATTTAATCATTGCCGATCCGGCGCTTATAAAGACCACTATCTCAACTACGTTGCAACCGATTGTGCAGAAGACACAACCGGCTAAATTGGTATACTTCTGTGAGACTTGTGGAGCCGGTTTTGCGCTGAGAAGATCGCTAATTCACCACAAAAAGCAAAATCTTTGCAATAAAACAACATTTGATTGTGACAAGTGCCGACGAGTTTTCATTTCGGAAGAGACATTGAAGGAACACCAACTAACACATCTGCAAGATCATGAGTGCACCGAATGTGGCAAGCTTTTTGGTACAAATGATGAACTTGGTCAACATATGGTCGACGAGCATAAACGTAATTTACGCAATCAATGTCCCATTTGCAAAAAAGGTCAGTGTGAGAGAATCTTTTTTTTATTTATTTACTTTTTTTTTTTAATTTTTAATTTTAATTTATATTATTATTTTATTTATTTTTTAATTTTAATTTATATTATTATTTTATTTATTTTTTAATTTTATATTATATTATTATTTTATTTATTTTTTAAATTTATTTATTTATTTTTTAAATGTTTTTTATTGATTCGGTTCTTTAATACATTGACCCATATTTATAACTGTTTACCCACAGTTTTTACCATACTATCCGCACTAAAAGATCATTTGCGTGTACATAGCGGCGAAAAGCCGTTTGTGTGCGAAATATGCAACAAAGCGTTTAGCCAAAAGACGAACTTAAAGCAGCATATAATGCGACATTCCAAGGAAAAGAAATTCAAATGCGACGAGTGTGCGAGAACTTTTGTTACTAAGGGCGAACTATGCTCACATAAGCGTACACACACAGGCGAACATCCATTCCGTTGCGATGAATGTCTGGCTACATTTACAATATCGAGTTCGTTGGTGAAACACAAACGTATACATACTGGTGAACGACCATATGCATGCGATCTATGCCCGAAACGATTTACATCATCATTTACGCTAAAAAATCATAGGCGCACTCATACCGGTGAAAAACCGTTCAAATGTCGCTGGTGTAGCAAAACATTTACACAGAAACAGGATTGCGTTATCCATCATCGTACGCATACTGGTGAACGAAATCATTGGTGTCATGTATGTGGCGAGAAATTTACACATTTGGGTACATTACGTACCCACATGAAAACACATGTAGCGAAAGATGTTGCCGGTGTAGCGAAAACTGCTGGCAAAGGAAAAAGGCTTTCGACGCGTAACAGACTCAATACTTCCAAACGGGAAAGTATGGATGGATCCGCTTACAATATTACCATATTGGATGTTGAAGACGACGATGGTGATGGCAATGAAGATACAACTACAGTTGTAACGGTCGCTCGTGAAGATATGGAACGGCTGGCGGCAGGTGGTACGCTTCGAAGTAGTGAAGTAGCAACTGTCGGTGAGGAGAAACTTGTGCAACTAGCTATTGAGGAAGTTTAACAATTCGAAAAATAAAGTAATAATAAATACATAAATAAAAAGTCCCTTAGATTTTGTAATTTTTTAAAATTTAATACATTAACTTGGTCAATTAAATACGTGTCACTTGCTTGGCTGTTGCAACTGCCGTTATAATTTTTTAGTAGTGGCGCAGTTGATTGTAATTCTGGTAAATTTACAATGTTTTAGCCGTCTCTTATTTATATATGCATGTGTGAATTTGTGATGTAAACTTTACGTAAATTGTCTCACTTGTGTCATCTGTCCACCTACGACAGAACAGCCGCTATTACCAACACCACCACCTTCATCGAAAATATTCACACTAGTTGAGGGCGGTTCGGAACTGAACCAATTAATCAACGCATGGTGTACACTCTGCACGCATTTACGCTGGTCGGCAATCAGATTTTCCGAGTATTTTACATGATTGGCAAATGCCTCTTTCTCGTGCAATGCATCTTTGGACATACGATGCAGGTCTTTAAGTATGGCTGAACCCCACAATTGTACATGAATATCGGGTATTTTAGAAGCCAACTGCATAGCAGGTGTAACCATATTCATGCTTTCCTTTGAATTGCCTATGCTGAGGAAGACATGTGATAGTAGTACCAACGAACAGGATGTTAAACGATTGAGGTCTTCAGCATTGGCCATTTTCAAGGTCTCGCGTAGAAATCGCCTGAAAATATTAAAAAAAAAATAAAAATGTCCATATGGCATTGGTTGTAATTTTAATTTGTATTACGTCAATTGACTAACTTACTTGGCCTCGTGAAAACTGCTTTTGTGAAACGCATGTAGTCCTTGTACATAATAGAAACCGCCCATTAGTGCTTGACTGCTATGCGTGTGCGTATTCTCTGTAGACACGGTGTCCAAAATTTGTTTTAGATCCTGTTCGCGCTTTGTTCGTAAAAAAATAATTGCTAAATTCAAATTAGCAAATAATTTCAGGTCGCGTTCAGATGTTTCCATCACACAGGCTATGAATTGCCGTTCTGCGTGCTCATAAAAGCTAGTCGACATTGAATATAAGCCTAGTAGGCAATGTAGTTGTGCTGAATGACGCCGAAGTAAACCTCGATTGGGTGATGCATTGCAAACATCTCGCGCTGCTGCAATTTCGGTGATTGCCAGAATACGATTGCCCATCACCATGCGACACATTACAATGTGCTCAAGCAATATCACCTTGAACACCGACAATATAGGTTTGTCATCTTGCGCTTTCAATTTTTCAATTTGGGTCAACGCTTTTTCTGTGTACTTTTGTGCCTTATCCATATAACCGGCCATCATTGAGTGTGATACCGTCACTAAATATACCAAAACATATAACTGTTCTTTAGGTAGCCACACGAACATTTCTAATGCGTTTTGTCCAAATATCGCTGAAACAAGATATAATAAAAAAAAGGGTTATTTCATTTCATAATATTAGATATAATATTATACCTTCATCGGTTGGCCAGTTGGGTGCCATTATAGTTTGGATTGACGTTTGCAATTGTTTTAAACTGGGTTTAACAGTTTTAACCTGACCCAACGCAAGGTAATAGCAAACTTGCAGGACTAGGAAAAACACTTTCAAGTATTCCTTCTGATGAGCATTGGTTATATTGTTATCAATAATGGCACCCGCCGTATTTAACAATGCCAAAACATCGTTTGTTTTCCTCTCTATCATTAATATCATGGCGCGAGACAATAGAAATAACACTTTTAGATAAGTAGCACCTGTCTCCTCAGCTGACTCTACACCAACGGCTAATAATTCAGAAGCTAAAGAATACTCCCGATCTGAGGCGTGTATTTGCGCAAGTTGCAACAACAATTTGCAATGCCAAAAGACATTATGCTGCGACAATTCAACTGCGCGACGCAACATAGCCTTTGCTTGTGAATTTTGCTCCAACTGCAGGTGTAACTGCGCTAATAGCGAGGCGGTGTCAAATTTAACGTCATCAAAATGTACCAAAGTCTCGGACAGTTTCCATGCAGTTTCCAAATGATTACGTGCTAAATCGGTGTTCAATGTATAGGCCATCAATATTTGACCCATTTGTAAGTGTGTGCGTGCTTCCACCTTTGTCGGTGGCTGGAAGGTAAACAACGCTTGTAAGCACTGTATACATTTCTTAATGTTTGGCGGTTTCGATGTACGGAAATGCTCGGCTAGGCCTAGCAACGATATATAGCAGGCATCCTGGGAAGGCGCTGTAGCAGTGCTTGTTGATGCCATCTCAATTCACCAACCACACTAACAGCAGCAGCAACAAATGCAATTGCTTCAGCTTGTTATCGTAGGAATCATAAATTGCTGACGCAGATTTACTTATTATTGAGCCTTTTGTTAATATTAAATATTTCCACAATAGTACTAAAATTAACTAAACCGATCGCTTTCGTTTTATCAAAATATTGCAAAGCATATATTCACCATAGTATCACATTTGACAATTGTGGTGGACTTGTAGCATTTGGCATTTATGTGTTGCCGTATTTTCACTATGTGTATAGAGTTGTAGCTTTACAATAAATACGAAAATGATAAAATAAAATAATTTGCAATTGAATTGGCATTAGAATACTGTCCCAGGATTTCGGAAATAAAATGGGTATGGGCAGATAGAAGAGATCCTCCAGATCAAGAATATGTATGTATATGTAGTTGCGGGAAACTTATAGTTTTCGAGATAGTTGCGTTTAAATTTGCAAAATTCAACTTTTTAAAGTATATTTTTTCGATTTACAATGCATTTTATACTTATATTTATCAATTTTATATCCATTTAAACTTCCCTAATTCGTTTTTACACATTTAATTTATATTATACAGTGCGGAAATAGCTTTAATTCAATATTTAACCTATTGTTCAATTCTATTAACTCACACAATATATAGTGTTACCTTATCGACATCTTTTGTAAATGAACTGAAAGTTTTCGCTTCGCTTTGCCTCAAACATTTGCTTTGACAGATAAGTTGAATGCATACTTTTAAATTTAAGCTAACCAAAATGTTGGGCAACTGTTGGGGATGTTCGAAACTCAATCACTTCGGCAATATTTGCATTGATTAGGCTAAGTAACAGCTGAGTCTCTTCATAAGAAGAACAAGGTTGCATTATTGGTGCAGTTATTTGCTTGCTCGAATATCCCCGTTATCTTTTTACGCTTTGTCAATCAACATGTTGTTATTAGAGAGAAGCACGACAAGCAAAGCCTTTTTTCTGACATACTCTTTCATTCCAAAAATTTACTCTTCTACATTTCGAAATTCGTCAAGGTTTTAAATAAAAATATATAACTATTGCTTTATTTATAAATAAAATTGTGTTGATATTAACAATAACTACAATATTTACGCAAAATTTACAAAGCCCTCTTTAATGGATAATCAACAAATTAACTTGGAATATAAGTATTATAAAATTGATTCCTCTTTAACAGTATAATTGTGATTAGACTGAAATGAGCTTTCAAAGTCAGTCATAAAAACGGTTCAAACAAAAATAAATTCAACTCTGCTTCGTATATGTTATTATTTATTTATGCTATTTGTCAGCTGGTTTTGTTTACGTTTTTCTAGGTGTATATGATAAGTACTTATACAAACCGTACGTGTTTAATTAAATTTTTTCAGAAAGTGTAAAATTATATACTGAGAGAAATACTAATAAATTTCAGGTTAATAAAAATTCCTGTTATAAGCTGGGAAAGTGTAAAAAATAGCGTATGTAATAATATATACATATATAAATATGAATATCTGTATACGATACGACAAATCGATATTAATTCAGAGAGACGTTTGTTTCTGTGATTACTATTTATTTATTTTACAGCTAAGAAACTTAAATATTGACGTAAGTAAGAACTCGTATATTTAATTCTCAAAATACGTTATATAATCTGGTTTGCGTAGTTATTTAAGGGGTTAGGGGTAGTCAGAGGCTCGAAAAAATGAGAATTTTCAGTAATTTTTTTTTTCTTTTAAATCATGTTATAGTAAAAGTAATAATATATGGCATTATTATACAATGTTTTGACTTAAAGTCACGAAAATTTGGAAAAAAAATTTAATTTTCAAAGTCGACCCAGTTTCAAAAAAAGTATTTGCGGTGGCTATCATAAGTCCTTGAAGATTCATCTAAAATCAATCGGATAGAAAAAATTGGTTTTATAATTAGATAATCCTGGGCCTGATCGAAGCTTTTTTGTTTTTAATTAACAAAATGGCGCCTCAGAAAAAAATCCTTCGATCAGGCCCGAGTTTATTATGTATTATAAAAGCTGAATAAATTTCATTAAAATCTACTAAGCGGCTTTCGAGTTACAGTCACCAGTTCAAAAAACATAGTTTTGAGAAAAACGCATTTAAAGCTTCACACTAGAGCTCCCGAGCGCTTTGAAGTGCCCGAGCGCTCTTTGTTATTTGTCGAATAACTCAAAAAGTAATTATCGGATCAACTTGAAATTTTCAGAGAATATTACACTTAACGAAAATGAAAAAAAATTGATCTTTTGAAAATTCTTACTACCCCTAACCCCTAAAATATATGGAATGATTTGTAATTAAAATTCGGGTTTATATAAAAAAAGATTAGATGGTTTCTTAACTTCTAATTTTAATAATAATTCGCCAAGTATATCTGGAAACACATTTCTTAACTGAAAGTTTTTGCTTGGATTTTTTTAAAACATGTTAGTCCACTAAATCAGTCTACTAAGTTTGGTAGATCTTAGCTCGGTATCATTATCTACAACGTTTGTACAAAAGAAGACAATTTAAATAAAAAAATTTTGATGGAAATATTTTCTTTTTATTAATAAATAAATTGGAAGCTCTTACTACTTAGCTGATATTTTTTTTATTCTGGAAAAGATAAAATATACTGATTGAACTGAATCTAGTGAATATATTGAGCGATGAGGAAAATCCAATTCATAGGTATGTTATATCCATATCTTTCCCATGTATAAAAAATGGACAGTATGGGCTATTTTATGTTACTCTATTGAGTTGTCCACTTTGTTGGTCGGTCGGTTTAGCTTCAAATACTTAACGCTATACTTATACTTTCGGGTATACAGATCTTTGATATCAAATAACCAAGTATAATGGAGCTATCAAGGTCAATGCACTCTCGGAATAAAAATTGAATTCACGAGACTAAAATGAAACAATGATAATGCTCTAAGATCCGATTAAAAATATGACTATATTTTAAAAAGGCTGCCCCTACACTACTCAGGTTTAATTTTACGGAATCAACTTGCAAAACTGCTTTAATGAATCATGCATTGCGAAACTTTCGTTAATTATTTATATAACTATGGTAGATAGGACGGTCTCATAATAACATAAGCAAAAAGTCTCGAAAGAGTCATACATACATATGTATGCTTCTTACATTATATATTCCTAAATTTACTCTAGTTTAACCGCACTACAACAAAAGCAACTAAAAATCGAGAACAATTCAGTTTTCATACATAAACAACACTTTGGTTAAAAATCACAACGTCAAAGTTCAGTAGAAAGTGGAAAAGGTAAAAACGCTGGCAGACAAAATTACCAAATAAAAACAACGAAGAAAAAAGGTAAAAAAATATACAACAATCATACCGATATAGCATACAAATGAATTGAAAGAAGCTGCATGGATTTATGCGATTGTATTTGGGGGGAGTAGCGCAAAAACGGCATCAATCCAATGGCGACTCATCCAGCAGAACCAAAACTATACATACACGCTACAAAGCAGCTAGCGATCGCATCCAAACACAACAAAGCAAACACTTACTCATTCTGCCAGTCAACGAATACAAGCAAGAGGCACAGCCAGGTCGCCGCCGGGCCAAACCTCATCAGCCGCTAAAGATCTTACCAGCAGCGGCAACTCATCAACGACAAACTAAACGAACGGGCAAACAGCCTGCCAGCCGATTGTCATACATATACACATACAAACCAACTCGTAGTTGACGATCGCCAACAACGATCTGGTCAAGTGGCAGGTAAAGTAGGGGGTAGCGCACCTTATAAATACCGGCATTGTTGTTCTGTGTACTCAGTTAATATTGAACGGTGCTACGGAGAACAACGTGTGAACACAGCAAAACTAACGCTACGAAACTAGTTGACTACGAAACTTTGGGATTTCAAAGTGATCTAGAAACATATTGCAGAAAGAAATAGATATAGAAACGAAAAGCGAACTTAATAGACTTGTGTCAGCATTTCAAAAGAAAATTACAAACCAGTATTTTGCAAGTAACTCTTGCTTTATGATTACGGTAATTAAACAATTAAGCAGTGTAAAAAGTGCAGAGTGAAGAAAAAACTATTCGAAAAAGATTGTAGCTAGTGACAAGTTTTTTTTAGACACACATAACCAATTAAACTATCTAGTCATATTTGAGTGATTTTCTTTTCATTATTATTTTAGTGTCTATTTTGGTGAACATTTCACTTTTGGTTGAAAATTGCTAAGAAAAGATGTTGCGTGGTAGCTTTTTAGTGTTAACATTACTCCTAACACTCGGATATCTGCAGGCGCTGCCATATTACGGCGAGTAAGTAGATACATACATATTTATAATTTAACAAATATCTAAGTTGCACGCAGCCAACAACATATGCTATGCACCATGTATAATAACGGCGTATATACATACATAACAATTAGTATTGCATTAGTAGCTTTATGTGCAACAGAAATGCTTGTGGGATTGCGGCTGAAATAAATAGATCAAAACTAGTGTTGTTCTTATTTGTATGGTATATTTTAGATAAGACACATTTTTTGTTTTTTAGAAGTATTTCGTATTAATATATCACAACCTTTTTTATTTTTTTATGTTTATTGTATATTATTTTTTAATAAAAATTTGCGAAATACTCAGCATAGGTCAAAACTCGATTTAAAACAGAAAATTTTAAGTAAGCGGGCTTTAATCGTTTCTTTACTGATAGCTTTGTAATTTGATAAAATAAATTGTTAACAATTAGTAAGCTTTTATGATGACTCCAAAAATAGACTCAAGTTAAGAAAGTGGAATCATAATTGGTAATAATTAATTAATTTTTTACTGCTGTGAGCTATTTTATTTGAAACGTTTAAGAAAATAATAATGATTATGTTGTTTTAAAATAATTTAATATATAACCAAATACAATATATAAAAAGTTTTTATATATGATTTTTTTGATTTAAGAAAAACAGCAAACCATTAGATGTCATTATTCGCCAAAAAAATTGTAAACAAAATTTATTTTACACGTATATTTAGAGTAAATAGTCAAATAAAACTGATTTCATAATTCTGTTTTTTTGTTAGCTGTTTATTTAAAAAAAAATTTTTTCAACATTTTTTAAATTTGTTCACGGTATTTTTTTCATTTTCTCCTCTGAATATAAATTCCTTGAATTGATTAATTTGTTCCTCAGTTTACATAATTTTTAACTTTCTAAATATATAGCAAATATTTTATGTATCAAAGAGAAAAATATTAAATAAATAAGAGCTGCCCTATTTAATATGTCCGCTATTATGTTAAATTGTTTAATAACATTATCAATCAGTACGGTTATACATAAACATACAAATCATAATTGAATTTTTTCAATAAATAATTTAACATTTCCTTCAGCCATTCTCTACTCATACAAATAATATCTGTACGTACATTTGTACATATAAGAAAACTAATACCAACCACACATACATATCATACACTTAACGGCCTTATCACAATGTTTTCTTTGATTCAATCTACTGGAAATTTCTTCATTTATAGTGTGAGTTAATGGAGGGATTATTTCCATTTAAAGTGAAATGCATGTGGCAGGGTAATTGAAACACTTGATCAATTAGATATTTACACTCTAGTTTTCCTTAATTCACTAGCTAACGAAAACAATTTCGTAGTTAGTGTAGAGTTTCAATTAATATGAATTGATGTGGGAACAGATTAAGAATTACGAATCAAACAAATTGAAACCCACTGTCAGTGAAATAAATAAAAGCATAAAAATACGCTAAATGAATGATAAATGCGCCATATAAATACAACGGATCTAACTAACGCAGAATGAAAGAAATACTAAAATATCGATAACATTGTATAAATTTGTAAACATATATACTTATGTACATTTGCCAATAGGAAACAATATATATACGCTTTTATTACTTAAAGCAGTCTTCTTTTTTTCTTCATATATTTCGGCACATTTCTGGTTATAAAAGCCGGCGTGTCATGCATTTCAAGTACAATTGAGCGCTTTGGACAGAAAAATGCGGGGAAAACGTGCAAGTAAATAATTTTATTTGCTAAATCGGCTTTTGCGCAGTAAATATTATATTTAAATTACAGAATATTTGTAATGGAAATATTGCCGGCATAATAATCAAATTTTTATTTAAAAAAAAACACACAAATATTTCGTAAGTTGTTAAAACTGGAACATGTTTAGAATATATTTCTGGCCAAAAGTTTTGAATTTTTAATACGAATGGCGTTTTTTTTTTATACATACATTTGGCTCACTTTATCTAAAATCAAATCGATCAGAATTTTTCAGAAAATTGTGTTTTTCTTCATTCGAAATCAATTTTTTTTTCAAAATATTGAAGATCTTCTATCCTGGTTATTTTAAAGTTAATTCCTATGTTCTGCTTCCATCTTGAATTTTACATACATAAGCTATTATAAATAAAAATAAAATAAAAGCAATTGACGTATACTTCTGTCTACAAGTGCAAATAATGAATAATTATCCCCCTTAAATAAGCATTTTTTCACTAACAAAGCATTAGTTATTTCTTATAAAAAACAACAACGTTTCTCGAAGCTTCTCTAATGTTAAGATACATATGTATTGAAGTGAACCCACTCTTTCTTTTAAATATTCATATGTAAATCTATCCACTCATCTATGCATATACATATATGTATGTATGTATGTTTGTATATACATACGCACCAACTTATACTATAAAAATATATGGAGGTTATTATTAATATGAAAATAGATAAAATAAAGTAAACAACTTTCAAAGGAATTAACCTTTCACTGCCACTGTTACCAGACAACAATAAATTAAAATTAAATAATCAAGCAATAAAATTGCTTAAAACCAAACATTTCAACAGTGACGAAAAATAATATGCATACAAATAATATACATAATACATACACCCATGTTACAACTAAGTATGCAAATAAGGAGCACAGTTGGTGCTTCTTTCGTTTTCTGTATTATTTTCCAATGCATGTTCGACTTTCTTCTTTCCATGCAAACATAAAGTACGTTTGAGTTACTAAAAACATAAAATAAAATTTGAGTTGTATTTTTTTTTTGATTTTTTGTTGTCACACATTTTCGACGTTTGCATACTTCATTGCTACTTCTTTTATTTATTTTCCATTTATTTTTATATTTTTTAATTTTATGTTTTTTTTATAATTTTAACACATTTCTTGGAACCGGTGAAATTTGGTGGTTTTAGTATTTCTTCATTTACGACTACAAATATCAACACATCGAATAAGGTCATAAAATGCAAAGAGGCTTTTAAGAGGGTTTTAGTAGCCACTTCTTGTTGCATTAAAAACTATTGTTTTAAAGAATTTCTGACCTCGTTTGATTGCAACTTAGTAACTGTTTATTTACGAATGGCGTAGTAGTTTCGCCAAACTCATTGCAGTTTTACTAAATTAATTGTGCCTGCTTATTTGCAAAGGTACCTATATACCCATAGGTAGAACTTTTCCGTGCGTATATATGTATGCATGCATGTGTGTGTATAAATGTGTGCCAAAAGATCACTTAGTTCGAGGGTACCCGCTCACAGCTTGCTGTCAGTCTGTCGCTGTTGCCTTTAGCATGCTTGGTAGCGTTTGCAAATCATGCAAATCTTGGCGTTTCTGCGCTTCTTCACTGCGCACAACGCGCTTACGGTCAACTTTATTTAAATTTTTATTTCCTGACAACTTTGTTTTATTGTTTCTGTGTGTACGTCTGTTCATTTGGCTGTTCGAGAAGTACCTATGTATAAGCGCTTCAACACACATTTTAGTGTTGCATTAATGACTTTTTCTCCTACAAGCTAACTGCCAGGGCACGACTTTTACGAAGGGGGACAAACAAAATATTTTAAAGTGGGGCACCGGGTCTTTTTATGCTGTTGGTTTCGATGTTGTGTTGTCTTTATCTAGGTATTTGCTGAGCAAACAATAAAACATGAACCTTGCAAACGAAAATAACAAAAACACTATTTCTTTACACGAACACGTACGAACGTATATATGTATACGGGTATGCGTGGGTAATTTTAAGGCTGCGCTTAGCATTTATTATTTAGCACTCTTTTCCAATTAATGTAGTTCTGCTGTTCCACACGGTTAATTCTAGAAAGACACATCCATGTATTGGCTTACGTGGCTTATGCGATGAGCAACAACGGTTTTGACTAAATTTACGATTTACAGTTTAGAATCAGACGGATTCAAGGTGTTCTGCCAATGATGGCAAAAATTAACACATTATCGTATGTACACACACATATGTTTACTTACATATACATATGTATATATGTATATCTTCTTGCCAACGTGATGTAAAGCGCTTTAGTCGGTGGCAATGGAAATTTACGGAAGTTTGTTAGCACAATGAATTTATAGCTTTCACACATAATATATACTTATGTATGTATGTGGTATATGCAAATGTGTATGTTTCCGTTTACCATTTAAAAATAGTTTTACTGAAATGCTGGTGTTTATAAGTAGTTTCACAGACAAATCGCAATAATTTTATTTTTAATTATTGAGTAATGTATCATAGCCCTGTGGCTTATGGGCGGTTTAATGGTTTTTTTTTTACTGTAACAATATACAATAACGATTATGGATTGATGTTATGATTGTCCATGTGCAGAAATAAAACACAATCTTTTCCAGTAGTTGCTGAAAACATTTTGCGAATCTGAAGCTTGACTAATACTCCATACCCATATTCCGCCCATATCATTATTTATTGGAATTCCTCATTGCAATATTTCTTGATTATTTAAAATATGCGACGCTTTTGTCTTATTTTAATTTTTTTTGCGTTTTTGTTTAAAAATTTTTTTTTTGTAACTTCTTCCATACAAAGACATTTTTTCAGTTTTAAAATTTATTAGATGTGAAAAAACTAGCACACTCGTGGCTATATATCATATAATATAATTTTTTTTCAGAAATGTCTTTTTTTCAGACTATATCAATAGTGTTGGAAAAAGGTTGTTTGAATTGTCCCGTCACCATTATAGTTTTTTGAGAATCAGCTAAGTCGTGTCCTATTGATATGAATATTTCGGTTCCACTATTTTTATTTAAATAAATGCACAAAATTTAATAATGCATCTGGTTGATTATTAAAAATATGCCGCTTTTAACCGTAAATTTCTGATAGAGTATTGGTGCTCAATTTCGTGGTGTAATAGGTAAACTTTTAATTTAACATTAACCCTGTTAGTTAATCTGACTATTTACTGTTTGTGCTTGACACGGTATATCAATCAAACACTTATCGCAATATGAATATAATATCTCTTTGTTTCCCAAAAAAAAAGGTACGTGGAAAAACTGTATCGAAAATAATTTCATTACGATTACAAATTTTAACTACAGCGCTTTTCATACTCATTGCAATTAAAAATAAATTGTAAATTGTATTTTCATTATTTATTTACAATACTTATTTGCAATTATATTAGTGCGAAAAAACGAATATTTTGTTAGCTCATTTTAATTTTCAGGTCACATTAATTTTTCTGCTTTCTGGTTTTATGCTTTTTAGTGTTTATATTATTATGTGTAATCTATATTCGGTAGGTTTGTTAACCTTATAATAATAGCAGTCACCTAGCCTAAAAAAAAAATATATAGGAAGTGTAATATTATTGCATTTAAAAAAATCGTCGTTTTTAGTTTACAATATATTATGATAATTCTTACAGCATTAAACCATTCGGTTCTTAGAAAAAACTAAACCGCAGAGGTTTGTTTGTTTCTTTCACCAATAAAACAATATTTCGGTTTGTATTAACTTTAAACTTCACCAAGTATAAATATCAGAAATTTTTCATATTTTTTTCCACTAACCATAAATGGTAGACAAATGTTACCGCAGTGCAACGAAAAACGAATTAAAATGCGCAAAGTCGCACGTGCTTTGTCACAGCGTGACTCATAACTTTAATTATATTGTGATTTTATGTTTGAATAAATCTTATGTGTGAATGTTGTGCACAATAAAGGAGAATTTTAATTGTAAAAGCCAGTCAAAGCGATTTATATGCAAATAACAAATAAATAACTAACGTGTACCTACATATTTTTCGAAATTAGACTTTGAAAGCAAGTAACATTTAAATACCTGAACTCATCAAAACTCTTTGTAGCCAAAATTTTTCAAACAAAAATTTAAATTATGTAAAGCGTATGTGTGTTGGTAATCATAACACAAATTTTATATGCCAAAACGTATGCAAGCAAAAGTAAATTGTTTAAAGTTTTATTAAAACTGTTTTCACTTAACACTATTTTTACGCAACGCTTTATGAATTTTTAGAAACCAAAAAAGGAAAAGGTTATTAGCTTGTTAGAATTTTGATCACATTTTTTATTGTTTCTAATTCTCTGTAATAGAAGTGCGTCAAAAAAGTAAACGAAACATTGTGTGCAATGAATAATAAAAATATATAGTATTGTTTATACATATGTCAACTTATACACAGAAGTGGTTCAAGAAAATAGTCAAGGAGTTCAAGAGGTACTTGCGAAACAGCTTAACCCTTATGTTAGTAACCAGTGTGTATTTGTGTGAATAGCTTAAAAAAAATTCAATATTTCATTTTAAGCTCTCAAATCGTCGTTTTTTAACTTAAAAGAAAGCTATTTGTGAGTAGATTTTTTTTTATTCTACGTTGTTATTATTTTTTTCTTTAAATTGTCACTGACTATTAATATTTGAAGAAAAAGTTTTTTTAGAATTTTAGAATTTTTTTTTTAATAAAATAAACTAAATTATAATAATACTCAGCTCGTGGGTACCCCGATACCCAGTTGCTAAAAGACGTCGGTAAAGTTGGTTACTAACATAAGGGTTAATATTGTGCATTTTGGTTTTGCTTTCAAGAAAAGTTAATAATTTTTTGTTATCAAAACTTTCCGAAATGCAAAAATAATAAAAGTAAAACTATAAATTCTAATAAAGTTGATGAAATAAAATTTTTTATATCTAAAATATTATTATTGTGTTTAAAATATTATAGCCAACCAGCTTGCAACCCCAAGTGCTATGACACTGTGTACTTGACTTTAGAAGTAAGCTTTATACTTTTTACGATACTTTGAGGCTTTTAATTAAGTATATATGTATGCATGCTTTAATGCGAATAGTTTCTCTATAAATATAATATACTAGAAACATTTTAAATATACATAATAGTGATTATTGTTTTTTTACAATTGACTTTTTCTAATTGTTTTTCAAAGACTTACAATTTTTAGCGACTTAAGTAAGTGATAAATATTAAGAATATAAATATTGTGATATTGAGTTATGAACTTTTATAGTGTATACAAATTTTCACATTTTTTTGTATGTGTCATTAACGACTATATGTACTGAAATTTTTTCTTTCACTCGCAAATTTCGACCACGGTTTGATTTTAATATGGTTATCGTGATTATGTATCTGGAATACAGAATATTCATTCATTTTTTTACCAACAATAAACACTCTCAGTTACTCAGAAAATATTCTGGTCACATAACTCGGCACACAAACTTGTATTTACCACATAAATTCCAATTGAAATTTGCTTATGTTCACAGACACATATTTTATATATTTTTCATATGTACATATGTGCATACATATTACGTACATATATAAAATATAAACAAACGCAAAATAACAAATGTAAATTTGAAAATATTGAAACTGAATACATTACACTTTTAAAGCATTAGACACTAATACACAGAAGTGGTTCAAGAAAATAGTCAAGGAGTTCAAGGGGTACTTACGAAATAGCTTAATATTTTGCAATTTTGTTTTGCACATCAGATTTTTACAGAAAATCATCAGCAGATAATTTTAAGAATGTAACAGGAGAAGGTGACAATGTTAATTAGCAGAGTACAGTAAATTTATAGAGAAGCACTGTTGAATGAATCTTTAATAATGGCGTCTCTATATTATTCTTATAATTGATAATTAACTGTTAATTCTTCTATATTTTTCAAAGTTCTTTGCTGTTATTGCTGTATATATCGTTAAAAATAGACTTGTTTGAGTTAATGACACATAACAAAAAGATCAAAATCTATTGCTCATATATACGACCTCTCCTTTTTTGAAGATTTTTTTATTTTACTGGTGCCAAAAATAAAATTTTGTGTTTGAATAAAATTAGTGTAAGACTAATGTGTTCCAAATTCTTAATTTTATAGTTACATTATTTACGTTTATATGAACATGCGTTTTTGAACCTTTAAGGTATAATGTTTTAATTTGGAACCAGATAAGATGAATGTTCTCTCCTCTTAATCTGTATAAAAATTATAGAAATAGATCTTACTAGTGAATAATGCTAGGTTGGATGTATATTAATTCTATTCGTTCGTTTGTCGTGAATATAAAATAAAAAAATTATAAATTTAATTTATTTTGACTAGTGCGAAAATTTCAAAAACCAGTCTCAGGATATTCAATGGAAAACTTCTGACACTATTCAGAAAACTTCATGCAAATGCATACTAATTTTTCCCATCATTTATTTCTTTCACATAAACACACATACATACATATGTATGTACAAACACACTTTTATAGAAAATACTAAAATCAAATAAATTCTTTCTATCACATACATACATACATACATTAATATTAAAACATACCTATAGATTCATTAAAGTAACACTTAAATTCAAAACACATAAACAAACATGCATTTTATTTGAATATTCGTAGTTTTGCGCATCTACATCATATCACAACACCGTTACAACACCGTCTCTTACAACCCATACCATTAATACCATTCGCACCATTACCACCCGCACCCGCTGTTGACACACACGTAGTAGAAATTTTTGAACCAAAAGCGCAAGCGCAATCAACTGGTGGATATCCAAATATTTGGCAAAATCTTGCTAATTCATATCCTTTAAATCTGGTTTCTAGTAATTTCGATGAAGAAGCCGAATTTGTGCCGCTCGAACAACAACAGCAGCAGGGACGTGCCGGTTCACCGAATGTCAGAGAAAAACCATTTGGTAAGTAACGAATTAATTTCGTATGAAGTTGCAATTGAAGATATTTGTATTTTTAAATTAAATATGAATTTGATTGAGAAAACAACAATTTTTAATATGGAGTTAAGCTTTCACTGCTCGTAAATTTTTTTTATCTCATAATAAGCATGTAAATACTTATAAAAAAAAGAAAAAAGTAGATCAGCGCTTTTTATTTTCAAAGTTTTAAAATAATTCCATTGTTGTTATATTTATGTAAAACCAACTTTTCGTTCTCAAAAAAAAAATTTCTGAATCAAAATTTTTCATGTTCTTCAAAAACTAACCAAAAATATTTCTGAAACACGACTAAAAGGTATATTGGCATTATTCTCATTACATAATTTTATTTTTGCGTACTTTTACAAAATACAACTTGATTTATCGTCTAAACGTGTCCCTAAGGAAAATATTTGATCCAAAAAATGTATCATGATTCATTCATCAGAACATAAACAGCAAGCACTCTTCACGCAATATTTCTAACGGTATTCTGCGAGCAAAGCACAAAGCATAAACTTCAGCTGTTAACTTTATTTGCGATGTTATTCATTCATTTCTATAGTATAGGGTATTTCCTTTAACTCCGGTTGGACCATAGGGTCGAAGAGTACAATATAAACTATCTCATATATACAATATAATAATCTAAACTTTGATCCTCGTCTTCATTAGGTCAAACGAAAATTGGTTTCCAGAACATGCTCTTTATGTAAATTGTTCAGTAAAGAGTCTTATAATAAGCAGCTATCTTTTTTGCTTCCGATATTTTTAAGTTTGTTAACTATAGTACACATGTACATACATAAGTATATTTATATACACATGCAAATCTAATAATATTTTTTTTTATTTCACAGAAGTGGATGTTGTGACAAGTGAGATTAATGGCGGCAATCAAGCCCCCGGCGTGTTTTTCCAGCAATCATTCCCCTTCCTCGGAAATGATTTCTTCAACTCGTTCGGCGGTTTTGGTTTCGGTGGTATCCCACAAGAACACTGGTGGAAGGGGTAAGTGTCGTTTCTAAATGATTTCTTTATAAAACATAGTTTTATAGACATACTTACTATAATTATTATACTTAGACTAGTAATCAGAAACCGAAAACCGGATACTATATACCGAGTTAAAACACTATAGTCAGAAACTTATAGTGTCGATCTAAGTTTATCTGTTCAAAAGTCACTCGAAATTGTTACCTCGGAGAAATTTTTCAGTTTTCGAATAAAATATACATATGTTATGAAGGGTGAGTTGTCGAATTCTTTTGAACCTGGTAAAACTAGTATTATATATACATACATATACATAAGTATGTAGGTATATTAAGAAAATATTTTTATGAATTTTTAAATTCAATATAATTTTAGAGGAGGACTTTTCTTGTATGATTATAATTCACTTAATCTCTAAATTTTTTAATTGAACTCTGTTTTTATACTTTTCAAGCCACGAATTTTTAGAAAATATCAGCATTCTTGTGGAAGAAAGTCTAGCCATGATTCTAGTATGACTATTAATCTTGTATTATACATTTTAAACAGGCTTACTTAGCTCAAATATGCTTTCGTTTTAAAAATTGCCGTTAAGAAGATAACTCTGCGAACTGCTACAAAACTTTTGGAATTTATGGTTTCGAATCGTAGATATATTTATTAACACTTTATTTGAGATTTTTGATGGGTTCTTTATTAGCTTTCTCAAAAGGTTTATTAGCAATGTGTGAGATTAACCTTTCAAAACATGAAACTGATAATCCATATGCATTAAACTTAAAGTTTCTTGGACACAATATCTCCGTACCAATATGAATTACATTATACTTATACATAAAAAAATGCAAAGGCAAAAGCAAAAAAGTCATCACATTTTTTTTTTAGAAAATATCATCTGATCAAATTTGACTCGGATTGGTTCATTTAAACTGCGCGCGCAAGCAGAATCGATAAACAATTTTTTTCTAGATTGTTACAACTTTTTTAAGTTCGTGTGAAGTTGATGTCTTTACGATCTCTTTACGACGCGAACAGTTTGTCTGGCAATTTCTACCAAGAAAAAAAATTTACAGCGAGTTTGCTTGAAATTTTGCGTACGCAATGGAATTACGGCTATATAATCGTTAAAAATGTTACAGAAGTGCACTTTATGACGAACAGAATTTGAGTGGCACAAAATATTATGGAAAATAAAATCAAAAGAAGCTTATTTTAATGGCAAAAATAAAGTTTAGTTTTAAAATACCTGAAATGTATCAAATTTGTTCAGATGGTATTTCAATGAAAATATTTGAAATGTGAAAATGCAGTCTTAGAAATTATAACGCTATAAATTTATGGTACACTCATATTTGTTTGTTTAACAACCGATAAATAGTAAATACTTTTTATAATAACTTTTATTGTTAAAGAAAATTTATTCAATGCAAACGTTCGCTCCGAAAGCGAAACTCACAGAGAAATTTTTTGTTAAACAAAACAGAAATATGAAAAGAAATTATATGGGAAATAAGCAAAATAATAAACACCACACAACAACAACAAAGAGCATTGAATGACGCTCATTGACATCAAACCGAGATAATTTCGCCTTTTACCAATTGCAAAGTGAAATCGTTCACTGTAAATTTACACACTTCTTCACAACCCACATTGAGTGGACGGACTCAATAGAGAAGAAGAACACATATGTATGTATGCATGTATGTAGCTTATGAGGTGATAGAGCGTCTGAATTTTGAGTGAGACAAAATTATGTAGCATATGTACATGTATTCCATACCTACCATATGCAAGTGCATATGTACATACATACATACTTGTGCATATGTAAAGTTTAAAAAGATGAAGGTACACATCTCAGTAAAGAATGCTGCGGTCACAAAGAAGAATATCACGAAATACAAAATATTTATTTTTTACTTTCAAGAAAATTATATTTTATTTATGCACATTGTAGCACGACATTACTGGTACGTTTAACCAGTACACATAAAGACAATGAAAGTGCAGTATGCACTCGTTAACCGCAACCATTGATTACTACATACTTACATACAGAGGTGCGTGATTAATTGACTGGTTGACTTAAACAAAATAGCCACTTTCGAAAATAACAAAGCCAAAGTAGAATATGGATAACAAATGGAATTTGAATAGAGTTGCCACCTTTAAGAAAAGTAAAACTAAAAAAATAAAAATTAAAACATGCAAAAGAAACGTTTAATGATGTTTTCGGGAAGTTTTGATACATTTCGAAAGAAATTACTTTTTCATTTGAGGAGATATTTTAAGAAACTTTGCATGGCTTATTGCCCAAGGCAACAGTGCAATCTCCGAAGAAATTGTTCAGATCGAGTCACTATAGCGCATGGATGACATACAAACTGACCGATCAAAGTTATTGTAAGGAATATTTTGCATACATATGTGAAGAGTGTTATAGCTTCGGTGCAACGGAAGTCAATTTTTTTTTGGTTTCTTTTTTTCGCAAACGCTCGCTGAATTTTAGGTTTTGCTCTAAAAAAGATTTCAACGTAAACTTTTTCGTAGGGTCTTAAAGGGTCTTACGTATGACATCAATAGCATAATCTTAAGGTCTCAAGAAAACGTTTACAGGTTCCAGGTTTAACGAACCTCTAAAAATTTTGTAGTTTGGGAGGAAACTAAGCATAAATTGAAGCCTTTGATAAGGTTTTATCTCCAAAACAAATAAACTTACAGCTGTAAAAATCCTCCTCTACAAAATGACCCAAAATAATTTTTTCTTAGAAATATTCTTTAAAAAGTTACACGCAGGTAAAGTTATGCATCAAATGTACTTACTGCGCATTCATGTACATACATAGTATGTAAGTATGTAGGATCATGTCGTATGAGCAACACATAATGTACATATGTATGTACATATTTATAAATTACTTGTATGTAGGTATGTATGTAGGAATGCTCAGGCCATGTGATATATACTTGTAACTGCATAGAACTTTTAAAGGAATGTTTTTATTAAGACAATTTTTGTAGAGCGAAAAATTGTGTATTAGTATTTCAATTTTTCAAAGTTGTAGATTTACTTTCTTCATGCACAATATCAAAAATTCCCAGGTGAAACACATACAGAAGAAATGTAATTAGTCACGGTGTAAATTGAAAATAAAGTGCTTTTTTACGTTGCATCTTTTTTTGATGTCCCTTGGAAATAGCGCACAACCTAATATATGTACTTATAGACTTACATAAGAAATAACAATCAGTAGTTTTATAATAATTATTACAACGTGTTCAGTGTAATAATTTGATAAATGCAACCGACCCACACTTTTTTATTAATGCCGTTTAACGAGTACATACTGTAAACCTAAATTAACCGTGCAAAACTCGACTACGCCTTAAGATAAATCTGAAATTTTAAAATTTAAATGAACATTTGTAGTTTGACAAATATATGTGTGTACATACTTATGTACGAAGTAAATACATAGGTATGTAAATATAGTCATTAAACCTCATTCAAGATTATTCTCCTGGGTGGTCATAGCAGATGTCACCGTACTTTGCAATCAAGCGAGAGATTAAGTAAATTGTATCCTCAATTTCAATTAGTTCCGTGAAGATCGTTTTTTATGGTCAAAAAATTGGTTAATACATAACCATACACTTACATACAGATGTGCATATGTACATACAAATGCATATCATAGCTGCACTTCCATAGTAAATGTAGGAGTAAGTTTAGACGATATATATACTGCGTTTGTATGTATGTATATAAGATATAGTACATATGTAAGTACGTATGTATGTATGTATATTGCGGTACATGCAAATTAACTTACAAATGTACATTTAAATGTATAAATGTACATATGTACAAATATGTGTATGTGAATGTGTATGTACATATATACATATATCACACAAAATATGGTATACATAAAGCTCTTCTCACATTGGAACTTTGTAGAATTTTGATTTCTAAATTGTATGCGTCATTGACGCACAGCCTCCCTTTGCTATTTTACGGTCTCACATTTGTGCATACGAGTATATACTTATGTACGTAAACCAATATGTACATGTGCCAAATAGTTTACTTTAGCAAACAATGGATTTACTGTTACGTGCAAAGCGCGTCTCCAATTTGCATGCATTAGTACTTAGAAATATAGTTACTTGTTTGTATGTATGTGTAGTATTGACGCGCCAATTTACGACTAGCCGGCAATTTTTCTACTCTCCCGCTAATTCGCGAAATTTCTGTTAATAAAAGGGGACCAACACTGCAACCGTTGCTGTTTTGGCAAACAATGTGGGGAGCTTTCACACGAACATACATACATATATATGTAAGTACATAAAATTATTTATTCATTTGAATGCATTTGGCGTACATTTCTACTTACATATGTATATGCACTTATGTGTGTGTATATACTTCTATAAGCACATTAGTCAATTATTATTGCACTTTGCCCACAGCTGCTGCATGCATATCTCGTTTATTTACATCTACAAGAAAAAAATCAATTAAACGTGAGCCATTAGTTGCTTATATGTATGTGTGGCTAAAGCATATACACATACCTACATGCATGTAAACATATGTTCTTTTCGCTTACTGTTTATAGCAACAAATAATATAAACAAAAACAAATAATACAAAACATAATAACCTGACCGGCCGGCGAATTGGCACAACGCTAATGGTTTACATATCTTTATATAGATATACACATGTGTGAAAACATGCATATACCATATATATGTATATGTAAATGTGCACCTAAACATATATTTATTGCACCATGTTGCATTTGTACAGTATTGTTCGAAGGGCTAGCAACTTTTGAACTGTAAGCTATACACAAATGCCATATATCTCTCGCAAAAATCAAATACCCTTAGCTATCTACATCAATACATATACATATGTATGCATATATATGTATACATATGTACATATATGTAAGTAGGTAATAAGCCGACATTTAGATTAGACAATATAGATGTAATATTTATGCATGCAAATGTTCGTGCGTACGCACGTAAGTACATTATGTACATATTTTGCTGCAATAAAAATCGCAAATAATGGAAAAACTTTCGCTACTTGTGTTTGAAGCAAAAAATAAAATGGTATTTTAATATTACTCACAGCAAACTGCATAAAAAATAGTTATGAAGCAAATAGAAACATAATAGAAAATACAGAGACTATTGAAGTCGACGTTAAAAATTTTCACTTTCCATTAGAAAAAGAGATTTTGGTTTTTAATTTGGGCACATTTTAACTATAATTTCGCTTCAAAATATAAACAAACATGGAATCTTATCAGCTTAGTTTACATTGCAATAGATGATAATACACAAGTATGTAAATAGTTCAAAACTTTTTATTAATATTTCCAAAAAAACACACTCAATAATCATTAACTCTGTTCAAATGCTCTTTAGTTTCTTTTAAAACGACCATTTTCGCCTGTTTACAAGCGAATTTAGTAGAGTATCTCGCAAAAATATTGTCAAAGGTTAAATTTTTTAAGCTTGGTCAATAAGCCTGTAAACGTTATTTTGACCTCTTAAGATTATGTGATTTGAAGATGATTTTGGTTCACTTACGTCATAAGACTTTTTAGGTAGCGAGTCGATGTTTTTCACAAACATTTTTGGTATTATTTGAACTTCTGCTGGATCGTAACTACTTTACTAAAATGTTTAATTAAATGAATCCAATTTAAAAATTTTCAGTTTTTAAAATCTAGAACATTTAATCTTATGAAGACCCCACGCTCGCTCAAAATTTGATCTACACTTTCTAGCATTGACAGCATGGATAGATTAGCTGAACTAACAAAAAGTAGTACAATCTTATTACGGAGGGCGCAGGTATTACTTAAATTTGGTGTATATTCAAAAATTGGTAATGTATTCATCGATGAACTGGTTACAACTGATTTGCGTTTACATGATTATTTCGTCGGCATTTGATTGAAATTAATATTTTTTTTGTATAATAAAGAATACATATTAGATGCATTATAAGGCGTATTTTGAAATATACAAACAATTTTAATAATAATTGTACAATTAATAATTGCTGTACAACATTATATGCATACACAGTTAACTGCATACATACATATGTAGATATGTACGTATAGTATATAAGTAGGTATGTAGGTGAATGTACTTACACTTGACACTTGTAGAAAGTTAATTGACAGACAACAATTAGCTAATTACAGGTTAATCAGCTTATTTTAAAAATAGTTCTCAATAAAAAAATAAAAAAACGTTAACTCAAACAACAGCTCAAAGCAACCTAAATTAATCTTGATATATACATATTTACATACATATAAAATTAAAGTTTTTTAAACTATTGAGATAACAAAATCAGGCGCGACTTATTTCCATTTTAATAAATATTCAGAAATTTGCTTATATACCATATGCATAAACAGATGTAGGAATAATTACTTTTTAGATGCGTTTTTTGTACCATACCTAGGTATGTATAGGGGTATCTGAGTCATATAAATGAGCTAATTTTCAGCGCAATAAATAAGTATTCAATTTTTTAAATTAAAATTTCAAATAAATGAAATTGTGCAACGTAGATTCAGATTCTAAATGATAGATCTAGATCAATTAGTAAAACAACGTGACGTTTTCGATTCACATTATGCAAGTAATATACATATATTTATTTTAAATATTCATTTGCCATCTTTGTAGAATTAATGTGCAAAATTATTTCAACACAAATTGAAAGGAACAGTAGACTGATATAGTTAAAACTTGTTGGGGGTTTACCTACTTTTTGCTTAATATTTTTACTTAAGTTTAATAAAAAGTACAGTTTTGTAGAATAATTCAACCTTATAACTCTCATACGAAAGTATCGTTTTAACCATATTTTTCAATTAAAAGAAGATCACAATATTCTTGAGAGATTTGTTATTTGTCACTAAAAACATTTATCCATGAACATCAAGTCGTTTTTACATGTTTACGTTAATTTTGAATCTCATTAAGATATTTATAAAAAATAATAAATAGTTGTTGTGGAAATCTTAAAAAATATAGGACGATACCCCAAAAAACTACCCAGCATAATTATAAGCTATTTTGAAGTTACCACCCTTATAAAGTCCAAACTGACTGCTGTTTACAAAAAAAAACAATGTTAGAATAAATGTCTAAATATTGCCATAGTGCCATAAAAATTTTAATATTTTTCAGTTACAACTCTCTGAAAGGCTTAAATATACGTTTTATGTAACACGAGGTTATTTAATATAATTTAAATAAGTTATTGTTTAGTTTTGGCTTAAGATAAGTATTAATTTATTTTTATTTTTTTTTTTTCAGACCGAACGTCTGCACCGACAAGGAAGAAGACGAAACTGCAGTCGATTCGAAACCAAATGATACTGAAGAACTTGCACCCGGTGTCTCGGAGAGCGTAGATGTAAAACCCAACATATTTGGACAGTTCCACATTAGCCTTAACTCATGTGTTGAAAAGCCAAATAAACATGTATGCACACGGGTGTAAGTAGTCAGCTATATTATTTTACCTTTAACCAATATTACACTAGAAAATACAGAAAGCACAAAAGTTGCAATCATGTAACAATCATGTTTTGTGCTGCAAGCGTAATTATTATTTTTTACTAACTAAACTCCCTTTCGTGCATTGCTTCTTTTCTACAAACATTAGCGTTAACCAAAATGGCAAAAAGAAGACAATCACGATAACACGTCAGTGCTGTCATGGTTATGGACGTCCACGTAATGCTGACTTCGCAACACCATGTGAGAAAATGGAAATCAAAGGCATCGATGCAACAGCAGCCGATATGGGAGCTAAAGAGTTCGTGGCAACTGCCAAGAACGTCGGCATAAGCGAAGTCTTGAACAACAAAAACGTGACCATCTTCATGCCTGTGGATGCGGCATTCAATAATTACATCGATCATTTGCAAAGCGAAAATGTAAGTGAAGAGCAAAAGTAATTAACTGATAGATTATTGAACTTATTTTCATGTTTCTGTTTTTTACTAAATAAAACTAGAACGCCGTTGAGCCGAAGGGTGATGCTGCTATGATGAACTTATACAAACGTCATATTGTTGATGGTGAAGTCAGTTTGTACGATCTCAAAAATGATCAATTGCTGAAGACACAAGAACCCGAACAGTCCATACGCATTAATACCTTTGAAGTGCCATTGGCTTTGGGCGGTGAACCCTACCGCTTCACAGCTAACTGCATACCAATTGAAAAACATGATAAACTATCGGAACAAGGTTTGATACACACTTTGGACGGTGTTATGAGGCCAGTAACAAAGAATGTTATGGATTTAATACGCGAACGCCCCGATATGTCAATTATGCGCACTGTACTCGAGAATACCAAACTGAATGAATTGCTAGAAGGCAAGAAACCGGTAACCATTTTTGTGCCAACTGACGATGCTTTCGAAAAGCTCGATCCACAGCTACGTCGCGCACTCAAGGAAGGCAAAGGCTGTGGCGCCAGTAAGTATAAGCATTTCCGTACATTATCTCAAATATTGTGAAACTATTGTATTAAATTTTCCACTTTTGTAGATATTTTGAAGAATCACATACTCGATTTGACCTTCTGCTCCGTTGCCTCCATACCTGGTGCCAAGACAACCGCCTATAACTTGCTCGGTGAACCGATGCGTTTCAATCGCAGCGACGCGTCCACCGGCAAGTCAGAGGTCGCCGATTTAGTGGGTGAACAGCCGGTGGTGATTAATAACATTGCGAAAATCACTGAAGCGGACATAATGGGCACCAATGGCGTGTTGCACGTAATTGATACTATTCTACCAACCGAATCGGCATTGCCGCTATCGACACTGATGCAAGAGAAGAATGTCACTATCTTCAAGCGTTTGCTTGAGGCCGCTGGTTTGGTTGACAAATACGACGATATGGATAATGTAACTGTATTCGCACCAACTGACAAGGCATTACAAGCCACCAAGTGGGCACAGATTTTGGAAGAGTCACCAGAATCATTGCGAAATAATGCGGAATTGGTTGAATTCCTCAACTATCATTTTGCACAGCCGATGACAAAGACTTGCGACTTGTCCGATTCGAATTTACCAACTATTGCCGGTCCTGAGGTGCGCATCAATCTCTACTCCACACATTCGCTCTTCTCCAATGTTATGAATCGTGCAACAGTCAATTGCGCTCGTCTCGTGCACTTCGACGATGAAAGCTGCGGTTCTGTATTGCATCAAGTGGACAAACCGCTGGTTGCACCAAAAATGGTAAGCAATGCAATAACCGTGTCACATTCCGCAAATAAACCTCTAACTTGCATGCCTTTTTTTGTAGAATCTGTTGCAATTCTTGGAGTCCAATCCCATGTATAGCAAATTCCTCGAATTGGTACGCGCCGCTAATCTTACCAACATCTTAGCGAATGCCAGCGACAGCTACACTTTACTCGTGCCCAAGAATGATGTGTTCGAAGAAGTAGCTGACTGGGAAACGACACTTACAAAAGATAAAGCTGAATTAGAGAACCTGATCAAGACACATATAGTGAATGATGTTGTCTGCTGTGCGGGTATCATACCAACAAACTGGCCGTTTGTGCGTTCTATTGAGTCACTGAATGGCGCACATTTGCGCATTACACGCGAACGTCGTCCGAAGATCGAAAATGCTGGCGTGACCAAGTGCGATGCGATCGCCACGAATGGTATTGTGCATGAGATCAACGACATTATAGTTCCTCAAAGGCGTCAACAACAACAGCGACCACAACAACAGTTGTATCGACCTCATGTGGACACTTTTGGAGACTTATTCTTCTAAAACACAAATACAAAAACTTTGTAATGACAGACAAACATACGTACGTAATTGTAAGCTGTCTGATGATTTAGAATTGCAGGCGCTTTTAGCACTAACTATAAACTAGATTTGTTGCTATGAGCCTGAAATTGGGATATTTTTTATTTGTGTATTTATTAATTTAATGAAATTTCTCTATAATCTGATCTATACATTCGAATATACATATATACATACCTATACGTCTTTTTTTTTAATAAATTAAAATATATTTATATGTATTAAACCGAATTGTGAATAACGGTCTTCACAAAATATATACATATTTAAATCAAAAAACTGTGGATTTTTGTTTGCTTCCAAATTTTGGAAGAAAGTGTTTCAATTATTTGAAAAACAAATGAATATTCATAAAAATCCAAAATTTTTAAAGCAATGGTTTTTGAATGATAATTTCATACTTAGATGTGCTAAGCCAAAAATTTTCTAGAGTTGACATAAAATTATCCAGCCTTCAGTTTCTACTTATAGTTTAATATCGTGATATATACTAGAATTTAAAGCAGTACATAGGAACGTTCTTAATCGGTAGGTATGTGGCTTAAAATTATTTTTAAAGTTCAATAACTCTCTGAATATTGATGGCAATATAAACAATAGATTTAGCATTAATGAAGGTATCGAAATCAAATTTATCAAAATTTACGCACAACGTACCCAGAACACGGGGCAATAAAAATTTGCATAATAAGATATTTACATGAAAGACATGCTAAAACATTTAAACATTTTCAAAAGATTTTCATGTTTTAAATACCTTCATTTTTTTATAACTTTAAATTAATTAATTTACTGATACTTTACTACTCATTAATTTGTTGATACTTTTTGTTTATCGTGGAGGAGGCACATTGTCGATAGTCCATACCATCGAAAGTTGATTACAGTTTTTCAGGTGCCTATCAAGACTGATAATAATAGTTTTTCTGATCAGAAAGGATTTTTGTTTTTGACTGCGAAGGAAACTAAACCCGCTTGGACATTAAAAATTATATGGATACGACAAATTTCCGATCATGTTTGTAATATCTCTTCGCTAATTGCAATAAGGAAATACCATAGAACACTCAAATCATACAATAAAAAAACATATCAATAAAAAAAATAAAGCAAGAAATTGAACCTAAAACAAAATTATTAGAGGAACTCACATCTTCAGAGAATTAATAGGATTTTAGAATAGACATAATTAAATTGCGAATAAAAATAGATCAACCATTTCAAGCTAACTATTTTCAAGTCTTACAAAAATACCAGCATTTGCAGAGTTATCAAAATAACTAATAATAAAAGTGCTCCCCTAAATTAACGTTCTTATCACCGAAAATAAATTAAATCGATTATTTACTCGAACTGGTTTTAGTATACGAAACTTATATACAAAATTATGATCGTTTGGTTAACGTTATGGAGAACACTAGGGATAACAGGTATAAATGAAATATGATCACAACAGTTGGTTTTTTTCTGGATTTGTTTTTAGTCACACACGCCTTGCGTATATTCAAGTAGAAACATGACTCATAATTATCAATCGAGCGTTCAGAAATTCTGTTTCGTCCGCTTCAGAAACTTACATTTTCACCGTCTGCCAATCATAGTCACAAGGGCCTCACAACTTTATATGTTATACTATATTAATATATAAGGTGGATAAAAAAAAATAATGTTTTTATACTCTTGCAACATGTTGCGATAGACGCGAACTAAAATATAGCAAAACAAAATAAGTCTAAGTTAATGATCTTCAATATATGTCAAATATTATTCACAATTTCTTCGAATATTAAGTGGTAAATTCTTTCGCAACATTTTTTAACAAAAAGTTTTGCCAGCGCCTGAGGGATTTTCCGGGCTTTGATTCTGCGAGGCTGCAAGAGTATAACATGTTCGATTACATCCGAACTTAGCCCTTTCTTACTTGTTTTGTTTTCGTTTCGTACTCTGAAGCATTGGTTGATAGACACTGTTAGAAAGGCTCTCCAAGTATGAGCTCGGGAAGGCTCTACGACTAACGGTTTTCTATTTTTTTCCTATTATCAGATAGAAAAATGCATGTTTCGCTTCCAACTACTTGAAAACATATTTCGGTTGTGGATTTTGTAGAAAAATTAATGCTCTGCAAAATTGTCACCTACAGTATTTTCGTAAACTTGACCCTTTAAAAGATATTAGCAGTTGAAGTTTGACTATTTTTAAGCAAATTTGTTTTTTTCATTTGAAGTTTATAACTCAATGAAAAAACATCATTTTAAATTGCAAATTTTTGCCTTTCTAAGAGGTCTCTATCAACCAATTTTTCAGAGTACCAAGCGAAAAAAAATCTTTGATCAACCCTACTATATGTATATGTACATATATTAATTTTAGTCTAATATTCGCTACACTGACTCAACGACAACACACGCAAAAGAAGACAACGAGCAATGTAAGAAGAAATGATCAGTTGTCCGAATCGCAAAAAATAAAATTTTTTGTGAATATTTCCCGATTTAATTTTTCTATGCATGATATACTCGTATAGATAATTTTCTTAGGCTTTTATTTGGGTTTTCCTAATTTTTTTTCCCAAATTAGAAACAACAAAGTGTCACACAATATTCGTAGATACTGTATGATGTACTCCTACGTATAAGTATATATCAGTTATTATAAATTCATATGCAGGTGAGTAAGTGTTATCAAAATACCACGTGGGGGGGACTGCAATATTATCAATTTATTTATATACTCAACGTTCAATTAAACGCTCAGCGGCTAATTCTCAATCTAGAAGTGAGAGTCAACTGAGAAAATGAGCCGTATGCACTCTTACCTCGTATTACCTACATATGTAAACATAAGTATTTACACATATTATATATGACATTTGAAGCTCCGAAACACTAGTTCTCAGTATATCGGCACTTTCAGTCACATAAAGACGCGCAATATATTTGATTGCAAATTTATACGCAAATTCTGAGTTTTTTAGAGTAAATAAAAGTGTTTAATTGAACAATGTCCACACTTCCACCAACATTTATTAAGGATTTCCACGATGAAGAGCTTTGTAAGCGCATGGAATATCGTAAATTCGGTCTTACCGGGTTACAGGTGTCCAAAGTGGCTTTGGGCACTGGTACATTGAGTGATTCCTATGGGTTAGTAAATCTTAGACTAACCTCTGCATTTAGTATGGTTTTTTCCGACACTTTGCAGCACTTGAGTGCTAATAAGCGATGCTGTCAGGTGAACACTTGTTGTCGGCCTCTTAACTAATGTACGCTTATATACTCGTATATATATTTACATATACTGGTAAAAACATGTTGTAATTGTTGTTTCTTATGCACATTTTGTGCATTGCTTGTTTCTCTTATTCGTCGTCAGTGATCTTGATGTGGATGAAGCGATAAAGACTATACACTCAGCTATCAAGTCAGGTATTAATTATATCGACACCGCACCATTTTATGGACAAGGTCGTTCGGAGGAGGTTTTAGGTATGGCTTTGAAAGACGTCCCCAGGAAGACGTATTACATTGCTACAAAAGTTGGACGTTATGAAAAAAACTTCGAAAAAATGATTGACTTCTCCGCTAAAAAGACTAGAGAGAGTGTGGAGAAGAGTTTGCGATTGCTTGGTCTAGATTATGTTGACATAATACAGGTATGTATCGGTGTCTTTTCATACACGTTAATGTAAAAGACGGGTTGATACTGCACATGGGTGGAATCATATCATGGGCACACACATTTTTTTTGTAGTTTAGCAGTCTATATATTTAGTAACACTTAAATACTCGTAGCTAGCGAAAGTATTAATATTCAATGCAGCCGAGCTGAGTTTATCCTTATGATATTGTGTGTTTCTCGTATAAATTGTTGCCAATCCCAGATTCAGTAGAGCAAATAAATGTTTTAAATAATCATATTTTCTCCGGAAATACGAACATTAACTATTAAAATCACTGTAAGAAGAAATAAGGAAGTGCTAAGGTCGGGTGTAACCAAACATTTTATGCTCTTGCAAATTGCAAGGATCAAAGGCGGAGAAATACCTTCAGGTGTTGCAAGAGTATAAAATTGTTTCGAAAGAATTCATCATTCATAGCTTGACGAAATTGTGAACGGATTCCCATCAAATTTCGTATATTATTAATTTTTACTATATAAAATAATCCACATATTGACCGATATATGCGGGGTACAGTCAACCGGAAGTTCGAAAATCTTTATGTTAGGTATATTGGGATTCAACCCATTTTTGACATACAGACATGCTGTTATCAGGAATGATTTTTTTTAGAATTTCAATAATAGTTATATCTCACAGATTGACCGATTTTTTCGATATAAAGTTCACAATTGCAGCTATGGTCTACATATTCAGTATCTGCGAGCTTAAACAGTTGTAACCCGATTTTGAAAATTTTCGGTAACAAGGTGACTCATCTTAAAGGCACGGACGGATGGACAAACTCACAGACAGACAGACTCTTGGAATTCGGCTCGGCTCATCATCCTGGACATTTATATATGCATAACTCTATGTAGAATATACTTGTATGTACATAAGTCTATGTAACATATACTTTATTTCAGATTCATGACATCGAATTCGCTAAAGACCTTGACATTGTGATAAACGAATGCCTGCCGGAGTTGGAGAAAATCGTAAAAGAAGGAAAAGCTAAATTTATTGGTGTAACCGCATATCCATTGTCACGCTTGAAGGAATGCATTGAGCGGGCGCCAGGCAAATTTGATGTAAGTGGTTATATAATCAATCGATGTTGTCATCGAATAATTTCACACGCATAAGCGTAATGAATTTATTACTTTCTCACAACTGATTTTCCACACTCACAGTCAGTATTGGCCTATGCGCGCTACACCCTACTGGATGACTCGCTCAAGTCCTATTTGGACTTTTTTCAGCAACAAAATTTGGGCATAGTGTGCGCTTCCGGTCATGCACTTGGCCTTCTGACCAACGCTGGACCACAGGTATGGCATCCAGCCGGTGAGGAAATAAAAGATATATGCCGGAAGGCTGCAAACATTTGCAAGGAGGCTAATGTTGAACTCGGCAAGTTGGCCATGTACTACTTTATGCAGTTAGACGGTGCAAGCACTTTCCTAACCGGTATGCAAACACGCAAGCTATTGGATATCAATCTGTCGGCATACTATAATGGACTGACCAAAAAGGAGCAGGAAGTCTTACAACTATTACGCGAAACGTAAGTATATACACATATACATATGTACCTATGTTGTAACATATA